TGTAATACTGACTTCTTAGCAGATGAGTTGTCCCATGTACAGGACGTGCTAAGGAAAAATGGATACAGCGCAGGAGGTCATACCCTATCCGAAGGTGTAAGGAAAGACTACCTAAGGTTCCCAGGCAACGGGCATTTTTAGGCTATGTTAAGGGGGTAACGGACAAAATTGGTTCCATTTTGAGGAAAATTTTTTCTATAGACACCATTTTTACTCCTTTATCAAAAATGTCACACCAATTGCGATCACCAAAGGATAGTATTCCTTACCAAAAACCTGGCGTTTATAAAATTGACTGCAGCTGCGGTAGTTCATATATCGGACAAACGAAGCGGACTATCGCCGAACGTGTAAGAGAACACATAGCAGCGGTCAAAAATCGTCAAGTGGAGAAGTCCGCGATTGCAGAGCACTTATTATCATCTGGATCAAACCACTGGATCGAGTTACATACACCTCATGTCCTTTCCACTGAACGACATTACTACCCAAGGATTGTTCGTGAAGCGGTTGAAATCAAAAAACGCAACAATTTCAACCGGGAAAGTGGATATAAACTCTCACCAACGTGGAATCCGGTTATAAAAATGTATAAGTGTCGCGATCGCAAACAACCACGAACAATATTCTCGGATACCGTAAGTGCAGTGTGTCGCCACCTTTACGTATAATAAAATCAAGTGGAGGGTACATCTGAAAATCAGTTAAAAACATTATTACCGGATTACCCTCAACTAAAATCAGAAGACGACACCCGCCAGTTCTCCAGTCTCCTCGTGACCACGGCTGCTGTAACGTAGCCGAAACGTCGAGGTAAATTAATTGTTTTAAAAAATGCACGAACAAGACCCGATTGCATATAATTACAAGTGGTTACATTTTAACCATTCAGAAGCTGATGAATTAGGTTTATTGACAAGTTTACATCAGGCCGCCAGTGGAAGGAATTGGCAATTCATTAAAAAATAACCGTGTCCATCCATCATTAGATTGCATTAAAAACATGGAAAAGAGTCATACAGTCTGATGCACAAATGTCCATTAAAATTGTCATTAGTTTAAAGCAACATTACCCGTACAAATTTGACATTCATAATTTGACATTAGAGCTTAAAGGCGTCATTAAACCTTATGGACGTTTGTGCAACTGACTAATAATATAGCTATTGTCACTTCAATGCGAACAAACAATCAAATATTTCCTGTTTATAACATCAGTATAAATAGAAGTATGTTTATTCGAAAAACAAAGAATTTTCTTTAAGTGGGTAGGTCACGATCGTTTCTATAAATAACAGTAGTTTTTATCTTTACAAATTCGCATTTTTATATATCATTTTAGTATAAATAGGAAAGATTGTATTGTTTGCTTGAATCGAACAGGCTCCGAAACGATTTTAAAAATTCTTTTAACGGCAGTTGGGTGAGGCCGTAGATTTTGCCACTTTGTAACGTAGAGTAACATAAAAACTTATATGTTACGGTAACGTAAATGTAACGCTAAAGTAACACATAATGTTGGTAAGGGTGATTCCATATCGCACTTTTTGAAGTGATAGATTGTCTTATAACGTGGGTTTTCAACTTATGTTATTGTATTAAGACTATTTTCATATTTTGTTGATAAATATGACATATTCAATATGAGTCATCTACCCAATTCCGGCCTTATACTTAGCCCGCACTACCTGTCACGGTACCCGCGTGTCGCACTACCTGTCACGGTACCCGCGTGTCGTCGGATAAGTATAATTCCGGTTTTAGTTAGGTTTCTTCGGGAACTGTTTTGGCGTGTTTTGGGTACTGGGTCACATAAAATAGCGAAATAAAAAAACTAAAATTCGTTAAATTTATTAATCTATCAATACATTTATTAAAAAAAAAATTCTTAAAATAATATTTAAAACCAGCACCTGTACTACTTGTGCTACCTTTTAAACGATGATTCGGATTGCTTACGTTTTCTATTACCAATATGTATTAGCCTTTACAAACATTTTACGTTACGTAATATAAACACTTATGTTACCTGTAACATAAAAGTATCATAATAGCAACGTAAAAGTAACATATTATTGAAGTTTTTAGGTTATAATTCGAAAATTTAACAGATTTTTATGCAAAAACATGATTTTTTTATAGGTTTTAGCTTTGGCACACACAATTGTAGCGTATTAAAGTTAAACAAATGTCTACTTACCTTACTAAATTGCACTAAAACTTTTTATTTCTGCTGGCTGACGAAATCCACGAGTGCTGTTTTTGACACGATCCATAGATAACAATATATGGTGTTCCTTTTTTTCTAATTTGGCTGTTTAGAGTTGCCCACCTTACTCTCACAATAACCCCAATATTCTAGAAAGACTATTATTACTCGCAACATTGGTAACATAAAAGTGTCGAAACTGAAAACATTTTAAAGCCAGGATAAAAAATAAACAAATGGCGCTTTAACTCAATATTACATTACATTTAGTAGCTCAACCATGGTACATTCCACTAGTTTGACACTTTATATCAAACTTCTCATAATATCTGTACAGAGTTGATTGTTTTAGGTTCGCATTTTTAGGTACATTTTGTTTTGTATGAAGCTTTTATGTCATCATCATGTTTAAATAATTTTAAAATAAAGTTATTCTAACTAGTCCTGCATTCTAAACGAAATTTGTTACCTTAGATATAATGCTGGAAGATAAAAATATATCAAGTGGAAAAAAAATATGAAATAGTATATTATATTAATCGATTTTTCTTGGTTATGCAAAAAGTGGCAAAATCTACGGCCTCACCCAGTTAGCTACATTATACGGGGTTGACATAGCTATGATTTACGCGTGCCAAGGAACATAAAACAAGAGAAAAAATAAACCCTGGCTGAGTTTTTTGCCGATTCTTCTCAGTATAATTTTACCTGCCGTAGATTTGTTAACCGATGACATAGAAATTCGACGATTGCCTATAACAGTCTAGACTGAATAAATTGAATTACGGCTACGGTAGGTAAGAAGAAAATATTTTACTCTGTTGTATTATTAAAACCTTTTTAATTGTCATGTTAATAATAATTTCATTCACCGTTCACCATCCAGAAACTGTCGCTGTTTCGTAATATAAATAGGCTTTCGAAGAGTCATTGATGCAATTCATGAGTCATGCATGACCCATATAACGCATGTTCCAACCGAGTATGGGTATGTTACCCGAGCTACACGATAATTTATGATGCTTCCATGACGATGTTAATAGGAATAGATATATTCTGTCTACATGCAACTAACAATATTTCATACAGCCAATATTTTATATAAATTGTCATTAGTTTAATGCGACATTACCGACACAAATTTGACATTAATTAGAGCTTAAAAGCGACATTAAACCTTAATGGACGTTTATGCAAATAACCGATAGAGTACTGTAACGTCCGTGCACATTATAGGTAAGATTAATCTCCGGACGATTTTTGGTCAATGCTGGCCGGTAATATTTTGAATGATTACTTTTTCTGTGTTCTGGTGATCTTGATCAGAAAAGTAAGATATCTGGTCGATAATCTTACTTTTCTGATCAAGATCGGCATAGAGTTTGTAATTTAGATTTTAGTTGTAAGTTATTCGATGTATATAATTTGCAAATTAAATCGAGAATAAAAGAGTGACACAAGGATTTCATTGAACAACCCTACTTCATTGGCAATCGGTTGAAGTATTTTCCGATACTGACATTTCTTTTAAGGAATTACAGATTAATGCAATACTACATGTTTATTATATCGTGAAGTTAAAAAAAAAAAGTAACACAAAATATGTGCCTATTAGACTATTATTTTTAAATGCTTTAATACTCATGTGCGTGGCGGAACTTAGTGCTTGCTGTCTTTTGTATGTTGCGAATGCCTCTCTAGGCAGCGATCCAATTTGAGCGAAAAAAGACGTGACGAAAGACGTTTTTATAATTGTACATTCATAGTAATTTAATAGTCATTTAATATAAAAAGTAAATTTATGTTAGTTTATAAGGAATTAAATTGTAATTGTTCGTAAAACGGTGGAAGATTCTCGAAAAAATACAGATTTTCTTACAAAATTTCAATCCCATATTTTTATTCCCCAGGGATTGAATTTCTATTAAAGGGTTATTTACTAAATGTCATTTATAGCATTGAATCGACCGCTGTTTCAATTTTGAAATCACTGATGATCGTCAATCAGTCTGCTTTTACTTAGGTATGCGTATTAAATTAACTACATTATTACATTTCATTTCTAACTTTGAACGTTCGCAATGTACCAAATAGGTTAGTAATCAAGAGAACCGCACGCAAACACAACATGAAATGTATCGGCGTTTCCTGGTTACCTAATATGAGACGTTTATTTATATATGTGTACATATATTATTTACATACAGAGTATAATATTAAGAATAGTCAGTATGTCAAAGTTTGAAACTATAAGCTATCTATTATATATCTCTTAATAAAGAAAAACTGCATCCATACCATCTTTTATAAGTAATTCTCAGGTCGGGAAACGAAACTGGACGTTTTGAAAAAACTAATATATATTATTTCTAATAAGATACCGATAGCATAAGTATCAAGCGCGATGTATGTAGTATCAAACATAATGTGTTTCGTTTCAGATTACAAAAAAAATCCGTGTCTTTCTCATAATGTTCATTTTTAATATTACACTTGCATATGTATATTTAAATGTACCGGTACTTAATTTTTCTACTAAAAGTAATAAAAAATAAATCTGGATATCACGAAAGTATACGTAAGTACTCTACGGATCATCCGTTGAGTTGAGTGTGGGAGGTAGAATTGAATATCATATTATATATGCCAGTTCGGACGTTCCGGACACTTGCGACGCATATTCAGTTAGATATGCATGAAACCTATTAAATATCATTACTCAATAAATGTAAGAGGTGTTCCGAATATTATGCGGTATCATTTTTTAAACTGCATACCTTTTTTGTTTCAGGAAAAATTCAAGAAGGAATTTAAACAACGATTTACATTCGGGCGGAAAACAAACAGATTTGCCAATGATAGTTACGAGGTAAACCATTCTAAATACTTAGTGTTGCCACGTAAGTTTTCGATAAAAATAAAATTGTAACGAAGTTTATCTATATAATTGATTAGTGATAATGATGACCTTTCCGGCTTGTTTCTAACACGGCGACCGCTTTGACTCCTAACAAAGATAGTTCAAGTCATCTGTGCATACGGCACTATGTTTACGTGAGCTTGTAATAACATACAGCTTTCATTTCTGTTCAGTGACGCTTCATTCGCTTCTTTGTATATACAGTCGTTATCGAATATGTTTTGTATTTTTTTGACCTTCGATGAGAGAAGCCAATCTAAAAATTCAAAGTTTGATTTTTCTAGTAGCGATTCTGAGTAATAACGTAAATTCAACAAACACTTATTTACCAAATTAACTTTAAGAATCCGTATTATCAATTAAATCACGTGTTTTAAAACAAAATAATATTTAGTAATTTAGAAAAGTTACAGTTCGTCTTAGTTATTCTTTATTTATTTTTATAATTGTTTGTATTTTGCTGTCCAAGAGGTACAGCCAAATACAACGGACACAAAGTCACTGTACATATATGAACAAGGATTACCCACACATACCGCCACGCAAACAAATGAGATAATTATTCTATACGGTTGGCGTTGATACGCCCAAAGATAACTAATATAGTTGGTTTAATTTAAGAGCGAAAAAGACTTAAATAGTTATCATTGTTTGGTTCTAGGGTCAGTATTGTAACTAAGTTTTTTCTTGCTTAAGTAGGATAATAAAATAGATTTTACGGCAAGCTCAAAACAAAATAATCTAAAAAAAAGATACAAACAAAAGATCAATTTCAGATATATTGTTTCAGGACGGCCAATCATATAGAACCCGAATCCTTTCATTTCGTTCAACAAATGAAAGGAGCATATACTCAGCTAGAAAATCAATCAACCTCACACAAATGGATAATCTTAGGAGCGAGAGAGATTCTTGTAATTGTTTACGAAATCAAAGTAACTATAACGAAAACGGCTTTCAATATTTAAAACCGGGTGAATATCAAACAAGCGACAATAAAAGGTACACGAGTACAGAAGGGACGAGTAGAAGAAAATCGAGCAGAAGCCTATCCAATGGGAATGAAAAACCTATAGATGATAGAGTTGGTGAATTATACATTTTCCCAAATAGCAACATTGTCGACTTTACTGACATAGCGTATGAAGACAAAGTATAAATTGAACATTACCATATAGTTATTATATATAATGTTAAAATGTTTAAATTTAAGTATTATAAGCTTAAAGATAAATATCACTTTGTCTATTTATTTTTTTACTCTTCGATTTCTTCAGTCGAACAAAGGATTATAATCCAGGCAGCAGGAAGTCCTTTAATGAAGACGAAATAAAAACTGGGCCTATTAATAATTGGGAATTTGCAAATGTCAAATGCATTTTAAGCTTGGCGAAAGCGAATTGTGTTCGTCGATATTAAATTACAGAGAAAACAAAGGGAACAAATTTCAGATTCGTTTCAAAACATCTCAAAATTTGGCGACTTCGCTCAAGCTGAAAACGTTATATCTTAAATGACATTTCCTTGTTATTTAAGCGCATGATGGATTAATCACATTTTGCTTTACGACTATTCCATTACATTTAATTTCGAAAACAGATTTTATCTAAAAGTATTCTCAATCTTTCTCTTATTTCGATATGACGGAGGGATAATCCATGAGAATTGATCATAACACAAACCCTTTAAAATTCGCTTCCTCCAAGTTGAGCATATTCGCGGGCCGCGGCGCACAGAGCAACTCGTTGTAATAGTTATATAAACTATTGTAATAGCAGGATACTTTATACTCTTGAAGTCATTAATCACTGTGATGATACTGCATAAAATAAAACAGGGAGATAAAAACAGCTGCCATTGCTAAGTTTGTTGGTAATTCTTCTTAATTAATTAACGTTTCCAATTGATTGTTAAGCCTAGCCTGATAAAAGATATAAGTTTCTTTATTGTGGGATCGTATATTTAGAAAATCTCATTGTCCTTTAAGTATTTTTATAGTTTTACTCACATACAACTCAATAGCATAATACTATCAAATCGAATTGTTTTAAGGAAACAATCAGAGTCTTCTAATCGATTGAAATCTTATTTCTCACCGCTTTGAACAAAAGGATGTTTAATCTTAATTTATTACTTCAAACAAAAGAGTCCGAGTTCAAAATCAAAACCTCGTTTAGAACAAAGAGAACACAATCTACGTCGTTTGATTATAGTCCAGTTTATTGCGATGGAAATATCTGTTTTGTATCAGACGTTATCTCTGCTACACTCGTAATGTGGTGGCTGATTTTGTGTTCTTTATTTATTCGTTAACAAACTAATGGGCCGTTTATTATGAGCAGTTTATTTTTATGATTTTATATTAATCGCGTCAGCAAAAGAAGATATAAAATTTATGATTTTTATATTAATATGTTTACTAGACACAAAGTGTTATTTTATATGTCTAGAGAGTTCGACAATAGATTTCCTAATAACTTTTTTATGTAGAAAAAAATTCGTAAAAGTCGACTGACAGACAGGGATGCCAGTTGGAAATGAAGTCATTTAAAGCCGATTAGCGTTTGAAATTACTCTAAATCTTTTCTTTAGACTATATTATCGAGCTAAAGCCTATTATATTTTTTTGTATTTTACTAAGTTATGATTGAAAAAATAGAGATCAAACGTTTACAATAGAATTCACGATATAGGTTTAGGACTCTAATAAAGAGGGGTGTTGTTTCTAAATTAATACAAGATAGCAGTGTAGTTCGATGGCGCAGTGGCTAGCGCGCTAGCTCTGCGATATGGTTGTTAAGATACTTTCGCAATGGCCGCTCATAGGATGGGTGACCAAAAATTTACTATCTCGAACTCCTTCGTACTACAGAAGCTACGCTTAGCCGTTGATCCAGGGCTGACCGACCCATCCACACTGGGCCCGTTTGGTGGGTTTCGGCCCATTCTTCCTTTACGATTCGTATCAATTTCATCCATAGAGAGGGCCTAAGCCCCAGCTATGGGTACATTAATAGGCTGGTGTTGGTGGTATTGGAAGAAAAAGGAGTTAGTTATTAAAATTTCCATGAAATTTAAATAAACTTCAAAAGTACCTAAAATGAGTAGATAAAAGGATACTACTACTCCATTCATAACTTTATAAAGAAACAGTTGATTGATACGTCACTTAAAACTTTGAGATAATATTTAAATTAACGTGATTTGCTTTAATAGGAGAAAATTTTTAACCTCATATAGTTAGTAACACCATTAGAGGTTGAGTTTGTTTTTCATATATAGGTCTTATTAACTAATTATTGCACAATTGTCAGATCTTAGGAAAAAATCTCTAAAGCGGTAGTAGATACAATCACTTAGAACCTAGAAAAACTGAGACGATATCAGCTTTAATCATGAATCGATTCCACAAGACATCGGAAATGGCAGCGCCAGATTTTGCATACTAACCACCCGCCAACAATCTTCTACGATCATAATAATTCACTCAAACATCTTCAATTATCTTTGATGAAATTAATACAACAAAATAATGCCTCCTCACGCGCCAAAAACATCCTAACTCTCCACACACCACAATATAAACATTGTATTTATAGCACGAAAGTACTTTATTATGGATACGAAAACGATCACTATTTATAAACGATTTAGACGCTCGAACGAAACAATTATCGGTATAACACATGGCTTGTCCTAGATTAAACATTGATAATTTTGTTTAATGATTATTATGTTACTTCCAAACTTATGGCATATCATTGAAAACATACACATGACAATACGCTTTTGTTGCATTGTTATTCGTCGAATATACAAGTACGTAACATAATGCATATCACTCGGTAGGGGTCGGCATTGGCAGCGGGCCTACGATCTTCAAGATATCCCCTCTTATCTTCAGATACTTGTCGAGGTATTCTGACACTGCAACTTCGGTTGGCCACTCCTGGTAAATGTAAGATATGTTACATAATTATACTTTGTGTTCACAATGCTTTATATTTATCTATTTTAATAAATTTAATTAGTGACACTACACTTTTACTTGTTGCTTATGACATTTTTTGGTAGATTTCGTAACCAAGTGGTGAAAACTGTCTCGCCATTCATTTGCATAGTTGATGTCAATCCACTGAGTAGCTGAACGTAATGTTTTATAGAACGGCGGAAATAGGAAATTCGATGATCACTTTCATAACATTACTTTATATAATAATTGAATAAAAGTCTTATAATTATAATTTCTTTTTTAGGGTAGTTCATTAGATTTTTATTTTAAATAACACTAGAAACCATATTCTGTCACATTAAAAACAACGCAGTATTCTTTGAAATACAGAGACAATAGACTTTCTGTGGCATGTTCAGCAGATTGACCTTAACTGTGCAATTGAATAGCGCTATTTAATTAAAAATCTAGTCATTTAATTAAACGGCTGTTTTAACCGTTTGGCGGCAACTATACACCATGCCAGGTCATTACTATTAATAGATGTTTTAACAAAGAAAGAAGTAAAGCCAAATGTATTTATAACCGGTGAACATTAGATTCCATTTTTTAATGATTAACCATAATAGAAACATAACACGCAACGTAAGTTTTAAATAAACTCTTTTATAACATGAATTTGTAACCATATTTAAGAAATCGATATGCAATAACTAGCAATTTTGGTTGTGGGTTGTGTTTATTCGCAAGCTGTGCTAGCAAATAAATTCTCTTTGTGTGCAGCAATGTTTGTGTTGAGGAATTTCATTACCATCCATATATGGGAAATAATATCAAATTCTGGAAGTTTATTTCTATCGAATTCTCTGAGTAACTCAATAACAATTTCTGAAAATATTGTTTTATTTTATGATGATATATTTTTGAAAATATTGATTGTTTGTTATGAGGGTTTGTTCATGCCAGATATCAAGTATATTGGATTGTAGTTTTTTTATATACGTCTAAAACTCATATTTTACTTTTTTTTCTCTCTTATTATAGATAGACATTTGAACGTCCAATTATTTATCATATAGAAGATAAGTTGAAACAAACAACATCAGCAAGAATTATAATAGGGACGACGAACATTTTTTGCTTGTTTGTTCGTCTGGCAGATTATGGAAGAATATTGAATACGTTTTTTTTATGCGTAATCGATAAATTACGGCGATAGATTGGAAGAAAATGTCTAATGACGTAACGCTTTTGTAAATTTTCTACAAAACTGTGACTTAGCGAGCCCCCACTCCTCAACTTCAATGTCTATTATCTAAACTATTTATTGTTTAAATTGAAGCAAAAAAATTACGTATCATATATTTTTCTATTATCTAACTGACGGACTACTTTTTTTACCATCCCTATTACCTTAAAATTAACTAAATACTTAAAATGAAAATATAATATACCCAGTACTCTTTAAGCCTCACGTGGGTGCAGCAACCTCACCACAGAGATTCAAAATATTCAACTTAATTTATATGGTCTACACATTTCTGTATTAAGGTTCGTTTTGTATTGTCCTACTTCTCAATAGCGTGGCAATTTATTACATTTACCATGGTACTATCTACCTTAAGTTCAATATTATTAGCGTAATATCTTCTTGACAAATCATTGGTCACAGACATGTTTATTATTTTGTGATCTAGCAACAAGAACTGTATCAAAAACACTTGTAATTAAAGCGCTATTGAGTCATTATAACGCATTATTAACTATGCTAGTAGCACGGTGGCGTAGTGGATAAACGCCGCGGCCCGCGGTCGTAGTCGTTAAGCAACTTTCGCAAGGGTCGGTCACGGGATGGGTGACCAAAAATTATTATCTCGAGCTACTCCGTGCCTCGGAAGGCACGTTAAGCCGTTGGTCCCGGCTGCATTTGCAGTCGTTAATATCCTCCAATCCACATTGGGCCAGCGTGGAGGGTCATGGCCACAGAACATAGAGAGAGAATAGAAGTAGTAAGTGGGCGGGGCAAGCGTCGCTGGCATATGCGCTTTTACTCATATGACGCCCTTTCCTCGGTTTTATATTTGTCAGTCGTTCGTCAATCGTCGAGTGGTGATTTTACTGATTTTTTCTATAAAAAATACCGTTTTGTGCTATTATCACTCGCAAAAAGCAAAACAAAGTATACAATCTAACTAATGCAAACATTTCCTTTCACTGGTAAGTACAATTTTAGTGCTAAAATATAAAAAACGTAATAATTTGACACAATTTCAAATAAAATATACATTGTTTGCTCAAACCAACATTAATGTTTCTAACCCCGTTTCTAGACAGCAATGTAAATCATATTGTGCACTTTTGCAAAAAATAGTGCTGTGCCTCCTGAAAATAAAAGATGAATTGATACTGAACAGATGAAATAATGAACTATTCAGACACTTTTTTACGAAGATTCGGTTAATTATTTACACGCAGATAAATATTTAAAAATACTGATGTGCTATAAATATCTAAGTTACGAAGTATATCAACGTTTTATAAACAATATATAAATCAAACGAAACTTCTTGAAAAGCTACGAGTGTTGGCCTAATAGGTCTTATTAGAAACTGGTGAAACTGGATTTCACTTATTTTGCATTACTTATATTTCAGTTTCCCTAATAACTTTACAACGGATTGCCCTGTTAACATAATTTATTTTGTCCTATCCGTTTTAGACCTAAACCTATCAAATGAATTTCAAAACAACATATTATCTATACAAACAAAAAATCATGTTTTTAACTAACGTAATATTGTTGGTGGTGTGAATTTAATTTATAAAATTAATTTATAGGCGTCAATTTAATTTACTTTATTATGCTGATTCATAATCGGAAACCATTATTATAGAAATCGAGTTAAGATAGGCACTTTAAAGAACCGCCCACAGAACAGCTTTTATCAGTTTTTTTGTTGCTTCATATTTGCACATAAGTTTATAAACGCATGTCTCAAACGGATGTGACTTTATATGTAGATTGACGTTTGTACGTACTTATCGCTTTTGTGTCTGTCTTCAAACTTTTTTGTCACGGCTATCAAACTCATACTTGACCAGCGATTCCTTATTGTCCAGTCGTTGCAATCAAAAATGTAGGTACTATTATTATTACAGTTATAAAACTTAGAATAATAAAGTAAAACAAACATGGCTATGATCAATTTATTATTGTAATGATCATATTAGTTATTATGAAATGAAATGAAAATATCTTTATTCAAGTAGGCTATTACAAGTACTTTTGAATCGTCCAAAAATTTTTTTTCCCCTACCAAGCGAAAGAAACTTACCAACCCTATGATATTTACATAAATCATGTCATTTCATATCTTATCACAATAATAAATACAACTTTCAAAGACTGTAGGACATAGGTAATTAACAACATATAATTAGTCTTTATAGAACAAAGCGATGGCTATTCATTCCATGCATTGCGGTTCTTAAAATAATCATCAACTTTATAATAGCCTTTACTCATAAGTATGTTCATTACATGAATTTTAAATTTATTTATGGGTAGGTCAACTACATTTTGTGGAACTTTATTGAACATAGCAATGTAAATGCATTGATCCTCTGGTTTTCTGAAGTCTGAAGCTTGGAACGGCAAGTTTATTTTTATTTCTTGTGTTATGATTATGAACACTACTTTTTTTTGTGAAGGAATCGTAATGTTTTCTTACGTAGATAATATTTTCATTGAGAGAGGCAACAATCAGAATATTTATTTCTTTAAATATTTCTCTGAGAGATTCTCTAGACCGTAAATTATATATAGCATGGACAGCTCTCTTTTGTAGAATAAAAATATCTTGAATGCTAGCCGCAGAACCCCACAACAATAGATTATACGTCATTACACTATGAAAATAACTAAAATATACCAATCTTGCCGTTTCAACATTTGTCAAGAGTCTAATTTGCTTAACAGCAAATGCTGCAGAACTTAGTCTACTTGACAAAATATCAATACGAGGATCCCATTGCAGTCGGGAATCTAGTGTAATACCAAGGAACTTTGTCGATTTCACCAACTCAACTTTTTCACTATTTACATTTATAAGTGTATTAATATGCCTCACATTAGGTAATGCAAACTTTATGTATTTCATTTTATTTGAATTAAGCTTTAAATAATTACTATCAAACCACTGTAGAACATTGTCGAACTGAATTACATTTTACTGTTTCATAAAAAAATTTAAACCTCTTATTTCATCAACTACTATTATGTCACATCACTAATATGCACAATCGGAATGATACCAGTAAGAAAAAATTACAAATTAGGCTTAATTTAATTAATACAAAAATTTTGTTGGTTTCTTAATTTTTGTTTTTTTTATACTTTCCCTCGCTTAATTATATTACTCCACAGACATATGATAGAGTTTATCATTAAGTTTTCTTAGTTTTTGTACTGCGTTTTTTAAAAGAAGTTATATAGGGAAAAGCGTTATTTTTTAATATTCACTTACAAAATCTAATCTTAATAGTTCGCACATACAGCAAAATCTAATCTTAATAGTTCGCACATAAATGATGTCCCCAATTTTTTTAAATGTGCATAATCTTAAAATATTTTTTTCCTTCTGGTACCCCTTCCCTTCTGGTAGCCACGTGAGAGTTCAATATTCATGTTAAAGTAAATTATTTATTATCACGTTGAATTAGAGTTTGTTTTTAATCGTGTGATTTCTTAGCTTAGTATCTTTTTGGGATTCTGTTTATGTTATCACGAACGTATCGCGTGGCAGTTTTTCATGTAGTGAACAAAATGATCATTTCATCTAATCTGTATTTGTGTGCGGAGAGGCGACACTCGGTTCCCATACTAAATCAATATCAATATACTTCTATTCTCTCTCTATGTTCTGTGGTCATGGCCCATCCTCCTCAACCATCCATAAGAAAGGCCTGAGCCTTTGCAGTGGGGACGTAAAAGAGCTGGTGATGATGATAATTACCTATGCTAAATAAGACCCTAATTCTACATCAGGATCTTATTTAGCCCACTGACTGGCAAAATGCTACCATGAAACATGACATCGGAACGTGCTATTGGTAGCGATTTACTTTAATACTTTGAATATCCTAATTTAAGATAATGTTTGTAAAATAATTCTATACATAAATATTCACACGATCCTTAATGAATTGGAGTTATATACAAACAACAGCACTTTCACAACACATGTTCAAAATCAATAGCCATAATTAAATATTTTGGGATAACTTTTTCTTTAATCAAACTGGCCTTAGCACTTATACGACTTTGAGCAATAGACTAAAATATAAAGTGCCGTCTTTCAAAATTCACTTACAAGACAACATAATAAGTATGTCTCACTTAATGGCATCTCAATGGCGATCTAATTGATTGAATTTTGCTATTGGATTATCTACCTGGGGCACCATATTCTTAGTACAATTTATCAAGGTAAATCAATTGGAACAGAGGCTATTTTGTTTAAGTACTAAAAGAAATGTATTAAAAAACGATTTCATTGAAAGGTCCTTGACACGCCATAATGACGTTAATTTTAACAGAATTGAAAACTTGTTTATCACCACAAATTGTCAAAACCTCATTCAATTCCCACCTCAACCGTCGATGTAAAAAGATGTCAGCTTTGGAAAATCTCCATTCCGAGTCTGACTGTAATGTTAATTTTCTGTCCTCTGCAAACACTCTCATTCATTTACGTTAGCCGGGTTACGTTTAATTAAGATTTAAAAATTACCTGCAGTAAAATCTCGGATGTGCGGCATATTATGCTTGCCGGTGAGACGGCGTGCGTTATCAGCACCATTATTTGCATCATATTCGTTGATATGCGCTCCGTGGCGACGAGCTAATTTATCGATTGCTCGTTCTATAACACTAAAAATAATTTATTTGCAGAATATAAATTTAAAGTACCATCAATACGGTTCTTTCCTATGGATAGAATGTCAAAGAGAGAGTGGGCTATAAAAGCCCATGGGATTATTTAGTGATAATGACTTCAGATTAGAGTCAAAGTAGCTCGATGGGGTAGTGGATAAGCGCCGCGATCCGTAAACGTTGTTGTTAAGAGACTTTCGCAAAGGTCGGTCATTGAATGGGTGACCAAAAAAATATTTTCTCGAGCTACTCCGTATTTCGGAAAGCACGTTAAGCCGTTGGCCTCAGCTACATTTGTAGTCGTTAATACCCTCCAATCCGCATTAGAGCAACGTGGTACATCCTCCTTAACCATCCATATCCATATCCATAAGGGGGGCCCGAGCCTCCAGCATTGTGGACGTAAAAGGGTTAATGATGAATGATTTCAGATGCATCCGGAAAAAACGTGTAACGTACCTTTTGTAGAAAAAATAGTCTCAGGAGAATGAAAATTTGTTTAAATGACTGGCTTTGACTTAAGGCTCATAATTAAATCACAATAACACAAGATTGGTGACAAGAATAAAACAAATCAGGGACTTAATGAGTCTCGAATCCATTCCGAAATTCAGTGAATAGCGCTGCTGTAACGGACTCTTTAAGAAATCATAACTTTAATAAACTTACAGAATACCATCTTCGATTCTCATGTCTTTAGTGGAGAAGTATGTGAAAGTCCCGTTGCCTGGCCAATCCGGCACTGGTTGCGGTTCGAAGCTGGCAACGGTGCCGTACTCTTCGGCCAGACGAGCTAAGATGTATCGCGCCATCCACAAGTCATCTGCAGACCTTAAACCCGGACTAGGACCAACCTTCCAACGATTGGAACAAAAATAATTAAATAAATTTATAACTGAATTTTCATAAATGAAATAAGAAAAGAGCTGACATGAGGAATAGGGGATACGATCCAGAGTGGTCAGTGTAAGTTTTACGTTGCATTAACTAGTGAGCGCGTTAAAAATTTGAATGGAGATTTGTAGTTCTTGTTAGTTAACGCTAAATCTTCAAGTGCTCATGAAAAAAATAATACACTAAGCCTTCTTTGAAGAAAGAAAAAGAAAAATAAATTGACTTTTTATAAATTTACTTGTTAAGGAAGACTCTCTAACAAATTGATTTGAAATAGAAAAAAGTAATTAAATAAAATCTGAAATAAAATTTGGATGATATTGTTTCAGTAACTAAAATACATATATTCATTTAATCGTTTTATTTAACAATCTTAAAAATCAATGAAATGTACAAAATTTATTTAAACTGTACGTGATATTGAACCCAAGCGATTATAGAAATACAAGAAAGCCTGCGTTATTTTTTCATAATCATTCAATACTTTTAAGGTTATGTAATTCAACACTTAGATGCTCGCGTGTTACAACCAACGACCGTAATATAATCCTTGCCTTATTAAGTCAGCCAAATTAACGGGAGTAATATTCTTGGTTCAAAATTATAGCTCATATTACATAGCTACATATATTTCATGATAGCCATAATATTTTTTATAACAAAATAACCCAAGAGCTTTATAACACGCTATAATATAACGATTATATCACGTGATTTAATGAATTATCAGGTAGAATATTTAACAGTGGCTCTCTCAGGCAATGAAATGGCATAAAAGTGAATTTTGTTTTTATAAAACTTCGGTTGATAGTATCACTATAATAATCTATACTGATATTATAAAGAGGTAAGATTTGGTTCTTTGCGTCAAATAGGATTCGAAACTACTGTACTGATTTTAAAAATTGTTTCACATAAGTGAAGCTACATCATACGCAGGTGACATAGGCTATTATTTAACAGGTGAAGTAGCAAAAAACGGTATAGTACATTATTGTAAGAATACACTGTAATAATTATGATTTGAATTATTTTAATGGGTTATCACAAAATGTAGCTATTTGTAATTAATAAAGGAGAAAAATTATTCTGTTCAGTTAAATAGCAAGACGATTATTTATTCAACAATTCCCGAAAATTATAAGTATCATAAATATAAGTACATATGAATTTATCACACATAATTTATTCGGTTAAATAATTAAGTAAAGAAACAGGATATAATATAATTATCTCAACGTCCCACGAGTAAAATTATTTACGTAATTCAGTTACTCATGTACAGTCAACAAAATGTCAGGTTATACAAAACTGTCAAATTTCCCCACTCGATTTTCAACTTTAATTTGCACGACAGGACATATTAAGAACATATTAAGTTGCTACTTTGAAGGTACGGTTCAGTGTTGAAATCATCGCTGGGCATGTCTCTTGCATATTGTGATTGCAGTGCATAGTTGTATCTGCATACAGATGTTATCCGGTTTCATTAATTTAACATAAGAATACTAATTTAAACAAATTTTGAAGCTTGTTATTAGCCTTTAAGTATTATAGATGTAATTATATTGTAAATAATGCTGTAAGCTCCCCAAAAATAATATCCACTGTGGAAATTTGATACAGATTGGTAACCTTGCGTACGGCCCTGTGTACATACGATAAACAAACCTGGAAATTCCATTGGGAGGGTGTTGTACCAGGATTGATTCCATTAAGCTGTACACCGGCATAAAGGCAGCATCTATAACAAAACTCGTAAAATTTTACGATCAACATTAAAATATCTTAAAATCTGTAGTCCTATAATTTCGCATAATTCTATCCTGATTTATTATAAAGAGAAACTGAATACTGTGCCAACATAAAGGCAGACTTATTAACGGTAGGTAATAATAGATTTTCACAATATGGATTCGGAACTATATATCGATATTTAATATCGGATTCTAAAGCTATATATTTTTTAAACTGATGATTGATGTGTGAATCGATATGTATTCGGTAACTGTAAGCAGCTCACACTTTCTTGCGATTAACTAACATACTCTTTTCGTATGCTACGTATTATTCACAAAATGAAGTCTCAAAATACACAGGAAAGTATGGAAATAACCTTAACTCTAATACGCTAAAGTTTTGAATCCTAAGAATTTTTAAATATTGCTATTTGACTCACTCATCAACGTAAGTGAAAATTAAGAAAGGATTTTGATAAATCAAGGAAATTTCCTATTCATATTAATAGGAAATTTCATTGATTTATCAAAATCCTTTCTTATATTCATATTAATCTATGTTTTTAATTACGAAACCAACCAATCCCATGACCGTATCTTCAATGGATAAACCACTGCTAAATCCATATTATTTTTTCCAAATAAGACCATATTTATTATGCTAATTAAGTAGTCTTTTATTCAAAACCAGAACCTTAGAAAGAGAAATGAGAACGGAAATAGGCGTATAATTGTTTACATTGGTTTTATCCTCACTCTTAAATATCGGATGCACTAACTCTTTTTTATACGCCTGTTTGAAGAGAAAGATTGCAGATATGCACTATGTGACAGATCAGAGACTTTCTGGCCATTTTGAGAATGGCAGAAGAAATTGCATTTTAGCCGTCAGCATGCCACAAAAATACGTTTTATCATTTTCAGATCAGAAATTTAAAATATTTATTTACACAGTTAGTAATGTAACGGTGCGTCGTACCACAACGTTTATTATGTCCTAGTTATCCGCATCCAAATTTTATCTTTGATCTTTAAAATCATTTAATATTTTTTGGTATAAATTTTTTTTAATTTGAAATTTTGAGTAGCTCGATATGTTCTTTCTGAGTGTCAGTTCATGAAAATTCACCTAGCGAAAACATGTTATGTAATTAAATCATATAAATCCAATATAAATCAGTTAAGAAAAATGTAAACGTATATCTACGAAGTATTTTCTAAGAGTGATCTATTATAAACATAGGAAGGAGGTGTATGTAATTACCTACTTACTCATACTACTAATATAATTTTAGAAATTCGTAAGAGCCTTTTATTTTTATATTCTTTATTGCATGTTGTTACAATTTTTTTATTTAGACTATAAATATATCTATACTTCCAACCAATAACAAGCAACGAACCTGTAACAGTACTTTATATTTATAATATACATACTCACCTACCTTAAGTGGTCAAATAAATCAACCTTGATTATTTTATTAATTTAATATTTTATTCATATTAAATTTAGATCAAGTCCACTCCAAGCTATGGACTTTCTTAGCTAGATCTTTGTAATTTTATTTCAATAATATCACCTATAAAAAGCCTCCATTAAATCTCTTGCTACAATCTTGTTGGCACCAGTTGCACAATAGTAGGGACCTGGTGGTGCAGGGAATCCACCAGGAGGCCAACCTAATGGACGCTCATCTGTCGTGGTCAGGAAAAACTCTTGGTTGAAACCGAACCAAGGCTCTTCAACTTCCCCTTTTTCGCAAAGCATCACACAATTCTTGCGGTAGTTTGAGTCTGCAACATGAATATATGTTAGATCTACATACAATATCACTGCTTAGATCTCAAACTGAGGAAAACGTGATCTAATGGATCAAATTGACAGTTAATAGATTGGCAAAACTTGATGTATTATGAATAATATTCTGTACATAAAGGAATATGTTAAACAGGGGTGTCAAACTCAAATTTACAGATTATTTATTTATTGTAGACACATCAACAGCGTACATATCAAACACTGACTATTATAATTCCGATATATACACCAAATACAGCCAAGTATAGCATTCAATCGTTTGTTAAAGAAATAATAATAATTCATTAATAAATACAAACCAAGTGGTTTAAGTCATGCACATGAAAGACTATCAAATAGATCCAATTCAGTAGCAACATTAAACTAATTAATAAACAATAAATTCTGTACTTTAATAAAATAGATGTAAAACTATAGATTCAAATAATTAAATTAAATAAGTAGGTAATTCAAAATGTCTATGATACATTAAATATTGAACAATAAATTCAGCATTAATATAATAATATTTAATCTCATTTTTAAATTTCTATAGAGAATTTAAAGTAAAAAATCTCAAAAAGACAATATTTTGTATTGTGACAGCGGTCCGTAATTTTAACATGACTGGATTAAAGAAAAGTCAACAACTGGCAAGATGCGTTATATAGGCAGCGGTGGCGTGATCTGCATTTGGAGGCTATAGTCCACTTTGGGACCCTCAGCCAAAGGAGTAAGTAATAAAGGCAAATAAATTATTATCAAATATGTGTTGCGGTACCTTTGTTATCTCAAATAATTCATAATACAAGGGCTTTAGCTACTCATCTTGGAATCTCAGTAATGTATGTATGTGATGTTGTTTAATATTAATTTACTACTACAAAAATTTCAAAGCCAAAATAAGTTAATCACCTCAGCTTAGTTTTAGAGAGACAAAGAAACAGCAATTGCTTTTTATATATATAGAAGATTGATTAAGCAAGTTGTTGTTGTTGTTGTTCTGTCGTTTTTGATGAATTATTGAATTAGTACAGACATGGAGTATGGACATGGAATATGGCTGATTTTGAAAAATTATAGCTCATCGAATACAAATGTAGTCGTTTAAAACTCTCGAACAGTCAATTCAAGGGTAACATAACTGCAATAAATTATCAGTTTCAGTGCGGAGGTACCCTTAGGCTCATCTCATCACCATTTTCATCGTGAAACTACTTTAATTATAAGATTCTTATGTAAAGAAACTGACCGGATGACTGATCGATCATCGTACAGGCGTCTCGGTGGGTTCTAAATCTCCCCTGCCAAGGGGTATTGAAAGTTCACAGCAAAGTAAGATATGTAAATATGTATCGCTATTTTGTTGTAATCATCTTTCAGGAAATAAGCGGTGTTATTTCGAAATATATAAATCGATGCGGAAACATTACGTTCTATATTTTATTTTACACCTATAGATTGCAAAGCGCTTCCTAGATCAGGGAATTATCTATAAGGTATATTTGATATTTTAACTCACGAGTCGGCTGGTAGTTGTGTTGATATGTATCACCCAAAACCAATATATGATTACCACGACGAAAAGGATCATGGTATACAACTTCGGGGAATATAAATGTATCAGAGTTGTCAGCTGTGGCCTGACCTGTGTTGCTGCCATCAAAATACCAGATCGGTAAATCTGAAACAATACTTCATACATTATTCAGTACTGCGACCGATGGGCGGATACTAAAGATAATCCAGATGAGTGCGGCCATAGTATAAATATTATTTTAGGAGTATAAATTGGCAATATCAGCCTGTTCAGTCTATGATGCGGATGTTAAGCAAGTTTCACAAAGGCTGGTTATAGAATGGGCAACGAAAAAAATGACAATGTAAGCGTAATGTCCTTGTTTTAGAAAGCACTTCAATAAATTAGTCTTGGCTGCGTTTGCACTAACCACTTTGCACTGGACCAACGTGGATGGAATCTTTCAATATACATATCCATAATAATTTATAGAAAGTTGGGTAATTGTCCAATTTTAAAATGTACCATTAGTACAGTGATTGAGATAAAGATTTATGGAATTATATAACTTTTAAAGCCTCAATAGCTTTTGGAACGAATGATGATTTAAATGATCAAGAAATAAGGAAAAAGAGATTAAACCGACTTCAAAAAACCGTAATAATAAAGAGAGAAATAACATGACAAAATTTTTATACCAAAAGTGCACGAGTCCGACTAGCACTTTGCCGGTTTTTTTAACAACTCTCGCCACTCTAGCAGTTTTCGTTGTCACATTATTGAGCAATAAACTAATATAGGTAGTTGGATGGACCTACGCCCATACTAAATTGCTGCTAGGGTAGGACTTGAGAATCGAACTCGCGTCAATTGCTACTAAGGTAGAATCTGTGCTCTCATAAGTTCAGTAATGAAATAGTTTTTTTTTTTATTGTCCATAAAAATACAATTTTTTTTTTGCATGCAAAAGTACATTATAAGCGCACAAAAGCTCTTTCGGGTTTATCAGTGGCCGTGGAGTTCAAATACAACGTTCCAAAAATAATTACAATAATTTATCAAGGTATATTAGGTAGTTACATAACGTTATTTTTATTATTTAACAATGCAATTGACATAAGGTATATCAAGCAAGTTAATCTTACTTAGCAATAGATCAGAACATAATTTTATATAATGTAATCATTCTTACTTTTATCAAGAAAGTATTTTTTCAGATATTTTTTATAATTACGCTTATTCACATAATAAGATACAGATTCCTCAGTCATTTCATTCAATAACGCCGATAACAAATATTTCCAATTTCTTTTTCCATAATAGTTATTAAATTTAGGTAACACATATTTCTTTGATTTTTGTAACTTTCTCAATGTCTTTGGTCGAGTATAGGCAATCATTTCATTGCTATTGTGATGTTCATCAATCAATATGGCGAGCCTCACACTATTATATATTGGCAAGACCCCACAATATTTAAATAAATCTAAATCATTTAAAAAGTTTGTTTTTATTTTTTTCGGAACTATTAACTTTAGTAATTTTAACTGTAGGTTATAGATATTAATCAAGTGTGTTTTGAACGTTCTTCCATAACTACTTAACCCATATCCGATCACACTGTTAGCCAAGGCCATATATAAAGTTCTCAAGGTCATGTAAGGTATTTTGTATCGTAGAATAGATAGTTTAGATGTTATAGCCCTTAATTTCTCACATACATATCCGATATGTGGAACCCAGTTAAATCTGTTATCAATTATAAGACCGATATACATATGTTGAGTTACGAATTCAATTTTTGGACATGAACATTGCATATTTACCTTATGAAGGCATGAGTGTCCTTGGGCGATAATAGATGGTGTAAATATTTTTCTGAAAAATGGCGAGTGGATATGAATGGCTTTTGTTTTTTGCGCGTTTATTACAAGACCGGTGTCATGAGCCCATTTGCATATCAGGTTGAAGCTGCGTTGCGATAGACGCTCCGCTATAGCGAGATCTGAATGGGCCGTTATTATGCAAGTATCGTCAGCAAACTGATATACAGACCCCCTCTCAAGCAAATTACTTAAGTCATTAACATATAGTAAGTATTCAGTGGGTCCGATGATCGAACCCTCCAGGGTTCCTCCACTGTCCACAGTGCCCACCTCTGTTGGTATTTTGTGACTGTAAGCACCATCAATCTTTACAAATGTACATCTGTTATGATGGTATTTCTTAAACCATTCTAGTAGCGGGCCTTGTATACCATTCTGTCCAAGCTTTGAATACAATACATCATAATTCAAAAGATCAAAAGCCTTACTGAAGTCGATGAAGACTGCAATCACGTGACGTTTGTTATTCATGTGACTACAGATTTCATCCGTGAATTTACAAAGTAATTTGGTGGTACTTTTATTTTTTTGAAAGCCAAATGGATTTGCATCAATAATATTATGGGCGCTCAAAAACGTATTTATCTCATTAGCTAAGTATCTCTTAATAATCTTATCCACACATGATAATATAGTTATGGGTCTATAGTTATTATAATTCGTATGACAACCTTTTTTATAAATAGAACGAACAGTGCCGATTTTTTATTTGTCTGGATATGAAGATGTTGCAATATATCTGTTTATTAGATGTGTTAATACGGGTGCTATCAAATACTGCTTTTATTATAGTTTTAGTGTTCGATTATTTTATGGATGTCCTCAATGACAGCCGGCCTCATACGCATTGTCACATTTGGATAGTTTATATATCTCGTTGGACAAAAAATACGATTCGTACACGGATCTATCAAATCTTTAACATTTTGATGAAACTCATTTGCAAAATTTTCCGCTAAAATAGTTGCAGGTAGATTAAAATATTTTAATAATAATTCGTCGACGGACGAGGATATTTTGCCACACAATTTGTTTATTATATTCCAGATTAGTTTTGTGTTGCTGAAGTTTTCATTAATTTGTTTTTTGTAATAAGAATTTTTAGTATAATTTATGTACTTATTCGTTTTGTTTCTATATATATTAAATAATAATCTTTTCTCTAAGTTATTTTCGTCTTTTTTCCATATTCTAAATAACTCAGCCCTTTTTTTACACATGTGTTTTATTCTACTATTTACCCATTCGCATTGTTTATTTTTTTATTATTATTACAAACTATCTGTTCTATCTTTGCACTATTGTAAATAGAATCAAACACGGAAAAACTTTTTAGTTTACAATACTACAAAACGTCTAGGTTAAGAGAAATACTGTAAAGATAACTATAATTTTGTACACGGAAACAGAAATATTGTTAACATAAGTTGACATTTTGTAAGCAATACAATTACAGTTCTGTTATTTCTGAAATTGTAATCAGCTCTGAAAGTATATTAAACATTACAAGAAAAATTGTATTTTAAAAATCTACAACACGAGTTATGATGAGTACTGAAAATACGTTTGTAATTACAATACAATTAGTATAGAGAACAATCAGTGATGTTGCATTTGCAAAACTTCGCGCGGCTTGGCTGCGATCGAGATGCGGGGGGGTGAGGGGCAGTGAACTTATTGCATCATTTTTCTTTCTTTAAGTCGCGCGCGCAGTGAAGTGACAGTGATAGGATTACTATTATTCTATGGGATAATCGCCCGCCGATCGCCACCATTACGCTTCCTAATCGTGTTTTATTGTTTTAAAATTGAAATGGACGAAGATGTCAGAAACTTATTTATTGCTTGGGTTCTCAGCGGTTATGTGGATGTGTTTTCTGGTAAGTTTCATTTATTTCATATGTACTCATCAGAAATGATATACGCCTGACTTTTTAGATTACATACATAGGTACTTATAATCACGCCCATATATCGGGGCATGCAGAGCCCTACGGTGTAATTCACACAAGCGGCCACGTCTGACGAGGGGGCTAGATGTTTTTATAGTGTTACTGAGTAGTGATATGACAAGTGCTCATCAGCCCGTCGCCTCAATAGAGTACTTTAAAATGTCCTTTTCCTTTAGTCTGATACTCTGATTTTGGATCTTGCACGGGAATGATGGCAGCTGTTTTTCTTTTTCTCCCAGAGCTGCGTATGAGTACATAACTTTGTAGATATACAAAATATTATGTTATGAGATGTAGGTGGGACTGGGATATAAAAGTAAATCCTTACCTCTTTTTTTAGATATTAGGTACCGGGCTGACTGATCTATATATTTTTTTATTATTATGTATTTTTAATTTCAGAAAACCATATTACGATGAACTGCTTAACGCTGTTGGACTCGCATATTATTAAGGAGCTCATACCACCAGTTGGACATAGAGTAAATTTTATTAAAAATTTAAACAATTGGAAGACCTTGATGGATTCTAAGAATGACAATCAATCCAATCAATCACAAGTAAGAATTTGATTTACATACTTTTAATTATATATAGGGCTTTTGCCCGCAACTTCGTCCGCGTGGCTTCCGTAGCCTATGTGTTGACCCAACCTCATAGTAATATTCATGCAAAATTTTAAGTAATTCCATGCAGTTCTTTTTGACTTTAGCCCGGACATACAAACAGACAGACAAAAATTATAAAAACTATATTTTTGGCTTCGATATCGATTGTAAATCACACCTCAAGTATTCTTTTTATAAAATATTCAATGTACAGTTTTGACTTTCCTAAGATTTTATTATATGTATAGATATTTACTACCATTTCCCACTTCAGGGACATTAGGCATTTATCTGTCGGTGCCAAGTTCATGAATCATATTATATTTTCAGAAAATATTCATAAAGACCTTGAGTGGCTTATAAAATCCAGCGTGCCTTGGAAAACAGTTGAAGAGAAAAGGAAAAATACATTCAAGATTAGACTTGAAGAGACTAAAAATATAGCAGTATCTGACTACATGAATGAGTATCAGCTACTTCTAATTGATTCTATGTTTTAATTAATAAAAGTGTTGGTTCTTATTATTGTTTGTTTTTCTTTTATTGGCATTTTCTGCGGGAACTGTCGTGTATCGACGTGATTGCTTAAAGTTCAGAGCTTTTATTTCTCGGAAAACCTAATGAATCTTGAGAAATAAAAGCACATTTTAAGCAATCACGTCTTTACCGACAGTTCCGGTGGAATAAGCCAACTACTTTTTCTGGACCATTTACAAAATAAGAAGTTACCTACACAATACTCTATTGTTGTCATTACAAGTCATTTTGTAATGTGAACGTATCATTCTGTTCCATTTATAATACAATATTTGTCAGCGGTACACAACAAATCGTATTAGTAATTTTTTTGTAGTAAATTAAACGATGACATTCAGTAAATTTAATTAAACGTTTATATGTTATTTACAAAACTTTTGATTAACAACACAAACTTTCTTGTTGGTAGGACAAAAAAGGATTGTAGACCTGAAAAATTAAATAGTAAAATTAACAATAACAATGTGACAAATACAATTCATGTTTAACTAGAATGATTGTGTAACGCTTACAATACGAGTGGTCGTCACATATAGAGCAATAAATATTGTAATGGTAACCAGAATATGGTTACACATACCAGAATAATTTTTCCGTGAACTTATTATACATAAAGCCGAATATGTCATCAGGCTGCACGTACGGAAGAGCCTCGGTCCAGTCCATTCCAGTTATATTTAAAGCTTGTTGCACGCCATTGGTTGTTGTGAGATATCAAACCTTTTTTTACTTTATACTAGCTTTTGCCCGCGACTTCGTCCGCGTGGTAAAGTTACTTTGAGCAGCATTTCTAACGAATATTTATTCATTATAATGTGTAAAATACCTGAAAAAAAGGCTTATCCTCTTAGCTTATGCCCTTAGGGATGGAATTTATCAAAATCCTTTCTTAGGGGATGCTTACGTCATAGTAGCTTTATGCATGCAAAGTTTCAGCCCTTAAAATTGACAAAGTTTCATACAAACTTTCATCCCCTATTTTATCCCCTTGGGGGTGGAATCAATCAAAATCCTTTTTTAGAGAATGCCTACGTCATAGTAGCCTTATTTATACAAAATCTCAGCCCGATCGGTTTAAAATTGACAAAGTTTCATACAAAATTTCATCCCACATTGTATCCCCTTGGGGATAGAATTGATCAAAATCCTTTCTTGGCGGATGCCTACGTCATAACATCTACCTGTATGCCAAATTTCAGCCCGATCCGTCCAGTGGTTTGGGCTGTGCGTTGATAGATAACTATGTCAGTTAGTCACCTTTGAGTTATATACATATATTTAGATAATACAGTACCACGCGGGCGAAGTCGCTGGCGGAAATCTTCTATGTTATAAAATAAAGCAAGCCAAATAGATTTTAAATATTATTCTGCACGCTACACAACTATTTATAACTAAATATACATGAATATATGAAGATGTTATGTAAAAGATTATTGTACTATTAAAATTATGCTAACTCAGCTTTCAAAGTATTTTTTAACAGATTTAGAGATGTACCTTCCACTTGATTTTATTATACGTAAAGGTGGCGACACACTGCACTCAGGGTATCCGAAAATATTGTTCGTGATTGTTTACATATTTTTATAACCGGATTCCACGTTGTTGAGATTTTATATCCACTTTCCCGGTTGAAATTGTTATATTTTTTATTTCAGCCGCTTCACGAACAATCCTTGGATAGTAATATCGTTCAGTGGAAAGGACATGAGATGTATAATATGTAACTCGATCCAGTGGTTTAATCCAGATGATAATAAGTGCTCTGCAATCGCTGACATCTCCACTTGACGATTTTTGACCGCTGCTATACGTTCTCTTACATGTTCGGTAATAGTCCGCTTCGTTTGTCCGATATATGAACTACTGCAGCTGCAGTCAATTTCATAAACGCCAGGTTTTTGTTAAGGAATGCTTTCCTTGGGTGATCGCAATTGGTGTGACATTTTTGATAAATGAGTAAAAATGATGTCTATAAAAATTGATTTTCTTCAAAATGGAACCAATTTTGTCCGTTACCACCTTAACATAGTGTAAAAATGCCCGTTGCCTGGGAACCATACATTTTCAGATAGGGCGTGTCCTCCTTGCGCTGTATTCATTTTTCCTTAGCACGTGGGACAACTCATCTGCTATGAAGTGCTTAATGCGTTAGCCCTGTTAATAAGAGTTGTCTCCACAGAACGTAGGTGTTGAGAATGAGATGAGTGATGAGTGAGATGAAATTGTTTCAAAATATTGCACGAACAAGACCCGGTTACATATAATTTGTATACAAATCGTGTGAGTTTAAAAACATTAATAAAAATTTAATAAAGATATCGTTCTTTTGAATAAAAATAAAATATAAATAAATCAATCTATTTATTAATGTTACCTCAATAGTGCGAATTGATGTTAGCTTCGTTTCATTTGAATTGTTTGCTTTACTTCTTAGCAAAGAGTTTATTTTCACGACTTTAATTCCAAGAATTTTGAAAATATTTTACATCCTTCTGTCGATGCCTCTTAACTACATTTCTAATAAAAACACATATTTATCTCTAAAAACATTATTTACACAAATGTTTTCGACTATCATAAACTTTATTAGGTACTTTGTTTATTTTTATGTCAGTAATAAATCTAAGAATTTATTGCTCTGTTTAAATAAATTTGCGCACGTTCCAATATTTGCTATTGCACACCAGAAATCAAAATAATTGAAAGCCAAAACAAATATCACTTACGTTATACACTATAACATAATTTAAATGGATTAAATATCCATTTAAATTTGGTAACATGATATACAGTCGACTGTATTTAAGTTACTAATGATACTTACATTATTACGAAAAATATTTGCAGCCTAATTTTATTATGGTTTTTGAAATATTAACATGATATACTGCTGTGTGAATAATTTTATCCCTATTTCTATTTCTTTATTTTAAAGCCAACAGTGAGCACTGTAATTTTTATGAATTAGCCCATGTAGAATGGAACCATACATTATAAGAATGTCCAAATGTGTGACAAGCTTGTTCTTGATATATTTTTCCCTTATGAACCTAATCAGGAATTAAAAAAGGCGCAATGCATTACCTTTATGTGTTTTAGGTACAAAATCAAAGGTTCTATCTTTCGATCGGAGATTTATCCCGCTTCCGTCTACCCAAACATAGCTTGCCAGGATCGCATCACAGGGTACCTCCAAGTCTTCATATTTGCGCATAGAAGCTTTATTCAATGCCACCGGTGTCGAATTCATTTTTGATTCTGAGAAATTAATATTAACCAACATTTACTATACCCAATGACTGCTATATCGTTACTACAAATCTCTTGCAAATTTTAATGTAAAGTTTATGTCATCTATCGGTCACGGTTTCCCGGGTCTCATCTCCCACGAGAGGGTGCACTGGAGGGGTTTTGGTAAGTAGGCCTCCGGAGACACACTGGGCAGCTAATCTGCTGGATGGGTTGACAGAGAGAGTCCCACGCACCCCCTGTTGCTCTCCAGGTAACAGGGATAGTGCCAAAAGCATTTACTCGATGATAAAAAAAGGTTTATGTCAGCTGTTGCTTATTGAAATAAAAAATAACTCCGAAGTTGGTGACTTATTATCAAGAACACCAAGAGTTCAGACAAAAATATTAATTAACTTTCTATATAACTATGAATCGAACCCGGATTCTAGGAGATGGTGATATCATGAAAGTTACTTTTAAGCTACAAAACCAAGGTAGTAGTAAAAGAAACAAACGTAAAATTAGGTTTATCTATATTATAAAACAAAGTTGCTAGGCGCTGTCGGTAGATCTTTAAATTACACAATGAATTTTAATGCTATATGCATATAGAGTAATTCAAGAGAAAGATTTATAAGTTCGATACAAGACCACGAGGGCTAAGACGCTGGCGGAAAGCTATTTTAGTTAATAATAATAAGAGGAAAGATGTGATTATATTTTTGTTATCGAACAGGCTCCGTAACTAATAAAGCGATTTCAAACATTATTTCAGCAACGGGAAGCTGTAGCTTGATGATGTATCATACGTGGGTGATGGGCTATAATTTAAGTGGATGAAGCTGCGAGAAAACAGCAAGTTAATTATTCAAATACACTTCAAATTATTATATATAATAGCAAACAGTAAGTAAGCGAACATTGTTGTTGAGCAGCTTTCGCTAGCTTAGTCATGAGATGGGTGACAAAAAAATATGATCTCGAATTCCTCTGTGCTTCGGAAGGCATGTTAAGCTGTTTTCTCTGCTGCATTTGTAGTCGTTAATAACCTTCAATTCGCAATGAGCCAGCGTAGAGGGTTATGACCAATCCTCTTTAATCATCCATAAGAAAGGCCCGAGTCCCTGAAGCGGGGACAATAATGGTGATTGCCTCTTTAAACTGAAACCACAAAATAAAAATTAGCAATGTACCTATATTTTTGTAATAACTATTTACCTTCTGTCTAACACGCAATTTATTCAACAAACAGACAACAGTACAAACACACTCCTACTTTTAAATGTATAATTATAAAAACAATAAGTAGCTCCTATTTACATAAAATCGTTTAATTATTGTTACTACAAATTTATAAATTAAATTTAACCTTTGATTACATACTAATTTAATTTGACATTTGAAAATCGTTACATTTACTCTTTAGTTGGCGCAATCTGACAGTTTTGAGAATATAAGTACCAAGAAGTTCAGATATCTTTATTTTTACTTACATACATACTCTTTGGAGTGAATAACTCGTTTTTTATGAATAAAATCCTCACATGAGGTTGAATAACGTATATTGTTAAAAGAGATTATGCATATTGTATCTAAAGCCCAGTAAAAAAAAATACGTAAGAATGTGTTTTCTGTTGTTACCCTGTAAACCCACATTGATATTGATAATATCGAGCTGCATATCCATCAATTCCTGAATATCCTTTAATTTTAAGTTTTTTTCTTAAATATACTCGTATAGTAATATTAATTAATATTAGACAACAATTAAGAAGCTGAAACACTGTATTATGGAAATCTGGGTACCTCAAGCAATATAGAAAAGGCCATGCAATATTGACCCGACCGGGAATCGAACCTGGGAGACCGTGATGGCGACGCTTTAAAAGCGGCGTGTGAGTAACTTGCCACCAAGGTTGGAGGAAGGAATTATATAATGCATTTTCTAAACAGATTTCAGTTATTAGTAATGTAATACTATCCAACTTCTATTGAACCCTTTATTTTACTAAAAGTAAATTTATTACCAATAAGACATAATTATCAAATCGCACAATTTTCAACCTTGGCCAAAGTTTTTGCCTGTACTTTGATAACGAAAAGTTTATATTTTTCCCCATTGCTAATTAAAACGATAAACGACATTGAACATGAAATGCAGGACCATAGAGCATAGATTTAATAATTTTCATCTGAGCCATAGAGTAAATGGTACATTTTTTAATTGTAAAAATAGAGTTAATCATTTTCCTTTTCTTTATACATTACTCTTTGATTTATTATTAAATCTTATGAATTTTTAGAAAATAAATTTATATCATAGCTCTGTTAAATTATGAGTTAGATTATAAATGTTATAGACATGAAGGATCAAATTATAATCTTGGCAATATATGCTTTAATAGCTACTCAACATTTAGTTGATTCTTCTCCGAGCTCAGAAAATATTCAAACGAAAATCCAAAAAAATGGAAGGTATTATCGCAGTATCATTAGTACAGCTGGATTATCTTCCCTAAAACCTAAACATACTTCAGCAAAAAAATGGCAAGTAGGTAGAGTTAGTAGAAAACATTATGAAATTGTAAATATGTTATGGAGAAAGACAAAATTGTTTGAAGATGAAGAAAGAATGACGTCTGCGGTCACAAAAAATAGATCGGAAAGAAATAAAGCAGCCCATTTTGCTTTTGATAAAAAACATTCAGTTTCATTTACTGCACATAGGCCTACCTTCAAAACTTCTACGCCGAGCTACATTGAGTTTTATTATCTTGATGATAACGATGAACGATTAAAACGAAGAGAAGTTATAATGCCAATGGCGAATTTAATGAAGAAACGACTAAAAGCTGATATAAATAATAAAAATGGAAATCAAAAACCTGAATGGGATCCTGTCCTATCCTTTTACGTTAATGAACCTGAATTCAAATTTGTTACCCCTCCATTACACAGAAATATTGCCCATTTTCATGAGAAACCACAGTTACGTAGTAAGACATTTTATGACAAGCAATCTATGTATGATTTTATAAGAGAAAAGCTTAAAGCAAAAAATGTTGTCTTAGCAAAAATGAAGTCGGCACTAAGTAGTAATAAGAAGACTACAGATTCAAAGAAATCTCATGATGAAGAAACATGTCCAGTCACGTTCACTTATGGAAACATGAATTCAACCAATAATGATACTACATTAACCTCCGTTTACGATAAAATTAAATTCTTTGAAACATATGATCAACATACCCAGCCACCCGATGACAAACAAGATCGCTACCGAGATATGCAAAATATGATCAAAGAAAATTACATTGACTCTAACCAGAAAGTAGTGCTCGAAGATATTAATAAAAATATAGGCCATCAACACACTGGACTCCATCAAACACATGTTAAAAAGCACGTATCTGATGATTTCGAAAATAAAATTAAAAATAATAACAACACAGTCAACACTACGACTACAAATCATGTAACTTGTAAAATTAACAATACATCAAACGAGCAAAATCCTACGAGGAACTACAATTTTTTTATGACCGACCAAAAGCTATTTAATTACACGTTAAAAGCGGCGAAAAATGCAAGCAAGCCCGTTTTATGGTCCGATTATCCTTTTGCTGCTGTATATATTTATGAGCCGTCTCAAGTAAGCGCTGATGATAAAATTAATTTGGCCCCTTTCGGAGTTTTATGCGCTCATTAATTTGGTATTTGTGACAGATACATTGCGATGCAGCTGCTCTGAGCCCTCATTGGCTAATGGCCTCTGGAGCTTGCCTGTCTCGCTACCATCGCAAGGATCCGATGACGGAAAGACGATCAGCTTTTGTAGCATACTGTGGTGAAGACTGGTGGAGCCCCGAACGTATTACTTACGTGAAATATATTGTCGTACATCCACGTTATCACCCTAAAGACGACAAAAGGAAATATCTATACAATATAGGTAATCTGCTAAATACTGGATAAGAACCTTGAAATTGATTTCTTTTAAATCAGTTATTAATATAGAAATCCACTAGATTAAAACAAAACTACTTTTTGCTTAATCTAACATCCGCATATTATTAGTATTATTCTTGCAGGTCTCATTCAAGTTGTAGGTTCAATGGCATCCGCTTGCGTCAGCTGGGAACCTATATCTATAATGTCTCATCATTTTGCAGCAAATGCTGAAGGGACTTTAGTAACAGCTGTGGGTTGGGGTATGGACAGGTAAGTATTATAGAACTCATAGCGCTCGAGCAGTCGATCGAGGCAATAAAATGTTTGAATAATAATATTGCTTGCACTTGAAGACCTTAAATTAGTATATAGCTCGACGAATTGCTCGTTCACTTAGGAAGGTACTAGTATAGTAATATGTATAAAAAAATAATATAGAAAAATTAATGGAAAAATGAAACAAATGGAATGGAAATGGTTTCTGGTAAATATGTATTGGTTTTTTACTTAATCTAATAATTATTCAATTATATTAAACTCATAGTAATAATCACTATAAGCTTATTAAGTTAAAAAAAAACTAAAATATTTACGGATCTCAAGTTTTAATTATTAATATACTCTTTTTATTTAATTTACTTTCATAAAGTTTAGTTTTGTTTGCTTAAAAGCGCTGCTTTGAGAGACAGACAAATAGAAACAGAAAGGCGACCATTACTTAACTTATATTTTAAGAGTATTTTGCAATTTTAATACAGTTGATTGTTATAATTTTCAGATACGATGTCAGATATTTTCAATCACATGTTCCCAAAGTTCCTTTACATATTTACAAGGCAAATGTTTATTCATCATCTTGCCCTGGAAATAAAGCTTACAGGTAAAAGAAAAATTAAGAATGATAATTATTATCTGAATAATATACGAGTATATAGACAATATGTATTGTAAAGAGTTATTATTATTATTTTTAATATTTTTACTAAAAAGAGAAAGAGCATTATCGGTTATTTGTCCTGAAAACTACTGTGGGAATTTAAGCAAGTTATAAAAACAATAACAAAAAGGTAAGAAAAATAAATCAGTATTTATTGTCTTCATTGTATAAGTTTATGCAGAAACATATTATATTTTTTGTTGTCCGATAAAAATAACCTCGAAATTTAATACGATAATATATTTTTATCATCCTCTGAAACTAGATCAAAATACTGTCTTTATCATAATCTTGCGACATATCCATACAACTATATGATGGCATTGACCGCCGCACCTTCGTACTACACTCCTACAATTCTCTCACTAAACTTGATTGAGTAAGTGTTTTCCGTTGCTTGGTCACCCTACGTTCTTTAATTTGTTGTATAAACTAAAAATGAAAATACGTCATGTATCTACCTCTAACCATCTCTAATTGGAGTATTGACATTCACAAAAAACCATGTCATTACCAGATCAATACATTATGAATAGAAATAGCCCATATGTTAAATTTAATTTAATAATTCATTTGGATATGGTTCCATATCATGACATGGATAATTATATTATAGATAATTACAATGACAAATTGAGTAAAAGACAATAGTTACTATGGCAACGTATTCAATCTCTGTACCTCATGTGTTCTTATGAACTTATGTTTTGAGACAAACTTTTTACTGAAGAAATAAAATAAAATATTACTGGCTATAATTTGTTACCAATTTTTAATTTGAAATTTACACTTTTAGTTTATTTGATCAGATATGCCGCGAGCTTTCCTGTAAGCCGTGACTTCATCTATTTTACAACACAGCGGAACAAAAAGACAACTTCTCTGTCGAAGTTGTCTCTTTGTACCGCTGTCTACTGTCGAAGAAAAAAAGTTCAAAAGTTCACTCCATTTCTGCCAACCAGATGTCAAGGCGAAAGCCAAGAATTATCAAAATGACATTTTAAAATTTGTGGTGGAACCCCTACCTGATACGTTATTTCGGAGACAGATTGGGTTTTCAGCAAGACTCTGCGCCATCCCATAAGCCAAAAAGCACCCAAGCTTGGTTAAGGGAGAATGTGCCGGCCTTCATCATGGCGGACGAGAGGCCCTTCTCCAGCCCCGACCTCAACCCGCTGAATTATTCTTTATGGACTGAATTAGAGCTCAGGGCCTGCCGAAAGTCCTACCCAAACTTGGAGTCACTGAAGCGAACCCTTATTTGAGAAGCAAAGCGAATTCCGCTAGAAAAGATTCGTGCCGCCATTGATGACTGGCCAAATCGTCTAAGGGCCTGTATTAAAAACAAGGGCGGTCATTTTGAATAAAATATATATTTTATTATTGATTATTATCTATTTGATTGTTACTAAAAATGTTATAAAAATAAGTTGATTATTAAAAAAGTTACGCAACTTTTATTTCGTCTTAAAACTTATGAACACACGAGGTAGAAACTTCTACTCCCATTTTCATTCCTTTATTTGCTGTTTTTCGGGATAAAGTATAGGTCTCTGTCCGATGCATATGATGTAGCTTCCCGAAAGTGAAAGAATTATTAAAATCAGTCCAGTAGTTTCGGAGCATATTCGATACAAACAAACATACAATCAAATCTTTCCTCTTTATAGTATTAGTATAAACATACATCACTGGCCTTTATCTAACAAAAAACGTAAGACTAAAAAATTCAATATAAATATTGTGTTTATTATAATTGAAATAGGTGGACAATTTTTTTTTACACCTTGTACCTAATTTAATGACTGGTGACATTAAAACTCTAATAATTCGGCGCGTACGTGTGTGCGATGGTATTTAAGTTTACAATTACATACAAAGAATTCTGAAATTTTTTCGCTTCATTCAGCACATTCCATTAAAACCTCAACTTAAAACGACTCACACGAACAAACAACTGGTCTCGTGGATAATTAAACGCTGAATCGTAACAACACACTATATTTATGGTAACAATGAAACCCCTGTATATTAAATTACAAAGTAATCAACCTAAGTAAACAAAACCATAACGCAGTTCTAAATTTAGAGACAGTACTATCTATAAGAATAAGTTGTAAATAATTTTATATTAAGTACGTATACAAGTTGATGGAGTAATTGGTATTTTATTTTATTATATATTCATCCAAACCCCTTTCTCATAAATCACAACAATATTTATCCCCAGTTGATTCCATCTTTACGGAAAACCTACCCAGTGGGAAAATTAACAGGCTTAGGTCATGACCATATTTTAATCAAAATTAACAAAAGCACAGTAGCGTATCATACTTAAGGACAGCGGTATCATTAATAACAAATCTATAAAAAATACTGTATTACGTACCGTGTCTGTAATTACCCGAGTAATTTGCACGCCAGTTTTAAAGTGTCGCCTTCTCTAATCTGGTCACGGGTTCGATTCCCGGGATTCAATGTAGAAAATGTACTTTTCTATATTTTCTCCAGTCTAAGTTTTGTGGTACTTTCGTTGTCTCGGGTACTACATAATACAGGGGCTTTTGTTACTTATCTTAGAATCTGTGCAATGTATGTGATATTGTCTTATGTTTATTATTTAAATACAAGTTTTGTGAAGAGGCTTCAAATTTACCAAAACAAACACCCACGCAATTGCAACCAATTCTTGCCAATCCTTATCTCCAATAAACATCATTATTATAATTGAATGTGTAGGCGTTGTAAATCAACATTCGCACACGCTCAATGTTTGATAGCGCGACATTTCGTTTTAATTGATACGGCGGCAGCACTTATTAGATAGCGAAACTGCGGTTCTTGCTTAGATTAACTATAAATTCTAAGCATACATAATCAATATAGAATAGAACAATACAAATTAAAGCGACGATAGATTTATGTTAATTAAAGCGATGATAGAATAGTTCAATGGCGTAGTGGATACGCGGGCGGCTCGCAATCGTTTTCTATATATATATATATTATTTTACTAGAGTCGGTCACGGGAATGGGTGACCAAAAATATGTTTTGAAGTAGTTATTCAACCCAAAAATGACTATTTACCATCAATTATTTGCCTCCTGCGAGTCGTTCACACCCCGGTTTAAGGCGTCGCCATCTATGTGCCGGGTTCGATTTTCGTATCTGGTCTGTGAAGACATATATTCACTTATATGTAATAAATAAAACACCATTTTCAGTGAAATGAAGCTGAATAATGAAGAAAGTGTCATCAAAAATATTTACTGTCTACTTTTACCTCCATATAATGGTGAAGATGTTGATCCCATCCATGGGAGTATGCTATTAATGGGTGGAAAATTGATAGCTTTGTATATACAGGTTATTTACATTAAATACATAAATTTCAACGTAGAAAAGTTTTTATTAAGACCAAGATTAAATACCCTTTATAAATAAGTCAGAATTAAAAACAAAACCATCGTCATGACAAACATTAATTAAGGTAACGATGCCATCACTGGGTGGAAGGAAATACCTTAAGTTTCGTCTACTACTTTAAACTAATATTAGTTATAAATGAAAGTCAAAGTATGTTTTCTCAGTATACCCATCCCTTGTCGGTTTTTCTATTTTTATTTTCAATCTATATATCTAAGTTCTTGAATGGCGACCACGTACCGGACGTCACTCACTGAGTAGGCCCCCAACCAGGTGGACCGATTAATAAAGGTCGCGGGAAGCCGCTGGATGCGGGTAGCGCAGGACCGATCGTCATGGAGACCCATAGAGGAGGCCTATGCCCAGCAGTGGGCGTCAAACAGCTGATATGATGATTATTATGCAATTAGGTAATTTGTGAGTTTGAGCAATCACTTGTAAACTGACGTATCGAAGTGCACTGTATTGCCTAAATATGAATAAATGAGTGTGTGAATATTTGTTACAAAATGTTTGCCCTAGTATAAATTATTTAATTGTAATTTTTATTTTCTATCTATTATTATGCAATTAGGTCATTCGTTAGTTTGAACAGTCACTTGTAAGCTAATGTATTTAAGTGCACTATATTGCCTAAGATGAATAAATGAGTAGATATGAGTATTCCACTATGGGCAAGTATTTTGTAATTTGCTTTATATAAATGTATTCTGCCTTACGATGCATTAAAATGTGGTATTAAGGGCTCATTATTTATCCACTTAAACCTATTAAAATAAAGTAATAATATTATTATTCAGACTTGAGCATAACTTTGATAGAAACTCCTTTTTAGCTTTATTAAAAAAATATATTGATTAAATCAGCATTACGTTTCTAAAAGCTACGTAGTAAGAGTCATTTTATGAGCAAGTGTATCGAACAAGCTATTTATCCACTCTCCTTTGGATAATAAGATTTTTATGGTTATAGGAAGAGAGGCGTCCTTTAGGTGTTCAATCAGCACTTTACACTGGGGTGTGGAAGCTGGTACCTTGGGTCCATGAAGTGGCACGTGAACCAGAAAACGGGGATTTATTTGATCTTGATATATAATTTTTATTATTCAAATTGTGAAATGAGAAATTTGTATAAAGTTGTTATATTTTGTTTTTGTGATTGTTTTCTTTATTCATTATAAACCATTATTTGTTTATTTGTTTTTTTTAATTATATTTATGTCTACGCTAAATCAATTCGGGTTGTTAAGAAACATCATTCAATTGTCTTTCTTACATAGTCTTAGTTTTTGGATACGTTTATTTTGTATCTGTTGAAAGACAGTTTTATGGACTCTACATACTTAATTTGCAAAAGCAATGAGGCTCGCCTAAAGTTTCCCTCTTTTGTTTTTATATAAGAACAACCACCGCCGAATAGCGCGACCGTAAAAAGGTCCGCCTCTGGAAGGATGTGGTCGCCACATGGGTTTAAAATTACACCATAGTAATTTGGAATACTAAACTCTCCCACATAAACTTTAAAGGGTTCCCGCAAAACATTCTTGTCTCTGATACCTACATTACTTGAAACAAAATATAACAAACAAAATAGTCTGCTCACTGATTCAATGTTGCCGTTAGAAGATTTTATGTTTGATATCGGTAACAATTATGTTGGCACAATTTAGAATAAATTTAGTTATGATCCGGACAAAACTGCGTTTTTAATTCCATAAGAAAACGATGATTCTCATTTGAAGTAGATTTTTTGATGTAGAACAATAAGTAAACTACTGATTCGATTTCGATACAACTTAAATAGGACCATCTTGGTCCTTAAGCTGTCGAACAAAAAAAGAAATTTTAAAAATCGGTTTACAATTGTTATCGTTAAACATACATTAAAAAAAATCGCCTTCGAATATATCACCTCTTCCTTTTGGATGTAAAGTCTATTAATAATACACAAAGTATTGTCGTGACCCTAGAGGTTTTGATTTATTTTGATATCAGAGTTGTGGGCTATAAGTTATGATGTACATGAAATATTGAAATCTATTATCTATTAATCTATTATATATAATCTATTAATACTGGAAATTACCTATTAATACTAAACTCAACTAACAAATCCGATATCCTGACGGTCATTTAGAATAAATTAATCATTCTCTCCTTTCGTTTTGTTAAAGAGTTCTACGAGAGAATAGGATACATATGCACATTTTTGTTTTTAATATTTTCATTTGATAATTTACTTCATTACATAACTGCAAAAGATACCTGGCAAATAAGAACTAAAATCGAGTAACAATAATAATTGATGAAAATAAGTAACAACTACAGCGCCAGATTTTTTTGGCGCGCTTGTCGTGACGCCATATTACACGACTAGAGATGTGACGTTTTAAATGAATATGGATTTTGAGGGATTGGTTATTATTAAATTACCAAAATCGATTGACAACTAATCGATCCATTAAAATCATAATAGACTTTTTTAATAATGATATAGTTCACAAAATTTTTCAAATAAAAATAAAAGCTTAAAACGTCATTTAAATTGTTATCACTGGTTAATATTGCGACATAATACATTGATGTTATTGCATCGATGTTAATTTTTTGTAAAACATCCCTACACGTGTACATTTTTGTCACATCCGCTCTCACAAGTAGCATGGCGTTTGAATATTTTAAGGTTACCGAATTTTTAATAATTATTTTCCATGTTGAAAAATATTCACATAGACTTCTATAGAATATTCTATAGAAATAATGATCATAATAAAATATATTTAACCTTTTTTAATCAGACGCATATTCCCAATTTGCACCGGTATGTATAATCGTATAATTTAAATAAATTCCAAATCATTGAAACGCTGCTCAAATCTATGGATCTTAGTCTAGAGGTGAAAATAAAACAATTTATCATAGAGAGACTTTATTTCTACGTATCCATTCCATTTTCTATAATACTTTTATCTTACAACAACGTTACCATTCTTATAATATTTTTTCTTTTTTGCCATTGGCAGTTCATCTGTTAGCGCTAAATGAATGTGCAAAATCACTATTATTATACATTTTATTTATATAATGTTGGTAACTATTCACTGACTTCGTTTAGATTTTATTATTATATTTATATTAATATTCAAAAAATTCAAGTAATCATTTTATTAAATGATAATCTTTCAACATTGTAACCAATTGATATTTCTAAACAATTATTTTAAATATAGAAATATTTGAAAACAACTATATTTTTTTTTTATTTTTAATGCAAACGAAATAATCTTGTAATAATATAAAAAAAAACTAAAAACTGAAAGGTGTTCGGTAATAAGAATAACCTTATATCTATCACTACAGTATACACTCGATATTCCTCTAATATTTATTATTTAATATTATCAACTCTAAGATATATATAACCTATACGTAACAAAAAATATTTTCAATTAAGTATCAGTTATTACAAATATCAGTCAAAGTACTTATTATTCATGATTTCCTTCATCCAGTTAACATAGCCTGCGGTGCGGGTGTAGATACCATACTTACCACGCTTGCCACAGCCGTCACCGAAACTTGTTATGCCCTTAGAAAATAGTTAATTATAATTTAATCAACAACATAGATATATCCAAGCAATTGTAAGTAGTTAATTTATGAGAAATTATTTTATAAACATCAGCAAAACATCAAAAACACCCGATCTAGCGCAAACCCTAAAATTTTCAAGCAAATCTAGCGCATTAATTTAAAATTCTATCTATAACTTTGTTACTTGTCAGTCTTAAAGTTTAGTAGAAATTAATTGGAGTATCAATATTTTTTTTACCAATTTACATACTTCATGGTTGATATCGTTTTTTAAGTAAGGGTAAAACGGGAACCCTATTACTAACGTCACTATCTGTCTGTCTATCACCAGAATGTATCTCATAAACCGTGAAAGTTTAGACAGTTGAAATCTTCACAGATGATGTATTTCTGTTGCCTATTCAACAAAATTTATACTAAATAACAGAATAAAATATTCAAGCGGGCTCCCCTACAACAAACGTGGTTTATTGTTCGTTTTCGGTACAGAACTCTTCGTGCGCTAGTCCGACTTACACTTGGCGGGTTTTCCCTGATTTTTACGACTTGTAACACTTTTGATAGCTGCTCATAGCAAAACAGGACTATTTTATTATGTTTAATAGATTTCTGTTCCTCTCTGAATCTTTTGATCAAAATTATTATTAATATTAATAATAAAATGACATGGTAATATTCAAAATCAACATAATAATTGTTTACCCGATTAAGAAGCGAAAGTAAAATAAATTAAATCATTACTACCGCTTTTGCATACCTAGAAATGTGCATTACCGTTGATTTGTTTGTAAAAAAAGACAATGTTGTTTATTATTCTAAGCTATCACAACACTTGTTGTTTTATTCCATGACAAGATTAGAAGGTCCCTCGATAACTATTTGTAAACAAGGGTTCGGCAAATAATCCTTGCGGAAATTCAAACTTTTCCCGTAGTCACTGAAGCCATTTATAGTCCCTGCCTCAGGGAGCTTTGTATTACTTTTGTGAACAACTGTTTACTGCGTTGTTAAATAGATATTAAATAAATATTCTTTTTAAAATAGATTTCACGCCAAATGTATTTGTCCAAACAATATTACAACAAAGTCGCTTCTCGCTTTCTGTACGCTGAGATCTTACACACTACACAACATATTTTGATGCGGTTTTCATTAATACGAGTATACATACAGAGTCATTTAAAATAAAGGTTTATATGTAGGTATGATACAAGACCACGCGGGTGAAGCCGCTGGCGGAAAGCTAAATAAATAAAATAATATGTAATAATAAAATAAAATATAGAGAAATATGTATAAAGAAGATGACCTTGTTTGGTCATTTTAAAGTTTGAGGTTACGACCTGATTTTGGCCATTTTTATCGTTACTCGGAAGTGAAATTTGATACACCCCTATCAACAGTATCAGTTTTACTCTAATGCAACTTATGAAAAACACTTCAAGGTAAAGTAATATGTACGTTAGTGACAACTCTTTGAATTACCAAATGGCCAAAAAGGGGGTAGTGGCTCCCTTTCCCCGGGTCTTCTGCCCTACATTTAAAGACGTATTATAAATACCTGTAAATAATAGCGCATGTCATGATCTCTGCAAAGTAAGGGACCGCCGGAGTCGCCTGCGCAAGAATCTCTGCGCCCGCGGCCTGCACATACCATGTTGTCCGTTATGGCGTACTGCCAGTAAGAGCGACGGCATACACCTTGTTGTATCGTAGATACCTAAAATATGTTTATCTAAATTAATTATTTTATATACCTATATTATTTTATATTTAAATATTGGTCATTTTGCAAGTTTTGTTGCCATTCAACATTAAACGGTCTTGCGAATACTGACTGGGTTTAGAAGTTAGATATGATAGTTTCACGGTTAAACTAATGAAATTACGCAAAATAATGCCTGCTTCTTTTAAATTCCACAGAGACTACGAAAAGTTAAAAAAATCATACCCGAATGATAATTGCAGAGAATAGTGTGTTCAAACCTTCAGCTTTATTTATGTAAGTAGAAATTATACCTTTTCAGTAAGATCATAAGCTTACTTTTGAACGAAATTTCAATATAGATTAAAATCCAATCTAATGACGATTTCATTTTCCTTCAAATCCAAGCCTGCCGGCAATTCTGTGATCCTCCAACGACTTATAAACGTTGTAAATAAGTTTTCAGGAATGATTAAATATTAAGATCGGAGCGAATGACGGAAAATCCGTCAACTATCTCAAGGAGGTATGTAACTATCTCACGGAGGTGCGACGGAAACTTAGGACGGAAACGAGTCTGCAAAATTGAATGTCACATCAGCAGAGCGATCCCGTGAAAAACCGGATTTGAATCGACTCAGGTGACCGAACTCACTTCGAAAACGAATCCGCTTACCTTGAATCGGTGTTCACGTTTCGTGATATAAGTAAAGTGAGTTTAAGTAGGTTTTCGTTTATGATTTTATTTTATTTTTTAATGATCAATTGATAGCAATTTGATAAACTAAGACTTTTTTGCCATGTGAAACGAAAACGAAAAGTTATTGAGACTAATTAGTTGAGATTTTGAACTTTATTCAATTCAAAAACCAGCTGTTAGGCCTATAATATTTGAGATATTTAGGAATTAGTTAATCTTCTTTGTATTTTTGTACAAAAACGGAATCAAAAATATATTCTACATTTATATATCTCGATGATATAGTTTAATCTACATTATGCATTCATGAATTTTGAAAAAACATTAAATAAAAGAAAAGTTTAGGTGGTTTGTGGCCAATTATAAATGATATTAAGAAAATAGAGGCTGGATAGTTAACGTCAAAATCTCACTTTTCTTTGTTCAAATTCACTCCGCGTTCGACAGTGAAGCGCCAGCGTCGTTTTCAGAATACGAAATTGGAAACTCACTGCGGATTCAGCTTTCCGATGTTCGAAATGTGTTTACAGAATCGCACGACTGATTTTTAATTATTGACTTAACTGACAGAAGGTGGGTTGTCACTTTATTGCAAATAAAAAATAGCTTTGTAGTTTTAGTAACAGGAAGTGATTCAAGAATTATGATTCGGTCATATTTTATACAATAACTTTTTAGTTTAAATTTCAGAGGTCTGATGAACATAAAACACAATTTATTAAACAGACCTATGGTACAACACTAAAATGAAGGCTTATCAATATTTGAAGAAAACAAAACGTCAATTGAGCTGTTAGTTAAGTACATCTAATTAAAAATCAAGTACGCATTGCCGCAAACTACCCCTGTTTTAATAGGAAAGTTCTATACGATGCGTGGTCTATACAAAGTCCACTATGTATAATCTGACGTGTAGCCGTATGTACATATTTGTCAGTTCTAACGTTCCGCGACCGAGACACGACACTTCTTCAGTCGGATATTCGCCGACTCTATTTTATTAAATTTTAATGGACAAATCATATATTCGTCTTATTTTTTGTTCTTATTAATATTAATTAAGTTAAATTATTTTCCAATATTATAAAATAAGGAAACATTTATGAAATAGTGTTTCTTCATTAAATGTCTTATGGGTTTTATTTTATATCAATCGCCCGCCTTCAAAATAAGCCTCTTTGCGTAAGTTCACTATCTATCTAGATAAGAAAATTCTAGTTGATTAAGAAAACTTAATTAAAAAGTGAAAAGGATTCATTAGAATCGATACACAATCAATTAAAACTAACACACATTAATAATTTTATATGACAGTATGAACTCTTTGTTTATATTCATTATGAACTAGTATTTGCATTAGTCCATTTTAACGTTACGACAGTATTCTACAATATACAATATGTTATAGCAATTTGATATCTAAAACTAAGATAATTAATTAATTCAAGAACTTTGATGTTGCTTTATTTATTGTTAAATGTGAAAGGAAACACGGCTGCCTACTCTTTGTCGAGTTAATTTACTTAATTAGCAGAAAATGGGAAAACTTAGCGTAGGGTGATACACATAATTTCTTCTGTAACTACTGAACATTTAAATATATACATAATTACAGATTTTCGCATCATATTTTATATATTAGATAAAGAATCGATATAGTACTAACCGAGTACTACGTGTACTAATGTGATTAGCGGTTACTAATGTGATTAAATAATACATATATTAAACAGACGCACATACATATGTATGTGTTATAGTAGTAAACTGTATTTAATTAGACGAATACACATTTAATTATAAAAGTAGATAGTTGTCATAACAAACACTTCGTTAATAAAAATATTTCAAAAAACTCACATCAAATATCTGTGATTTTACAGTTTACTAACGTATTTTAAGGAAAGCCTGGCAAGTATTGTTTGTCTCTAATTTATTTTAATAAAATAATATCTTACACATTTTTGAGTGACAGTCTAGGACTCTACTATTTAATATGTGTACATAAATTTGATTGTTATCTGTACTCTATGCATATAAAAAAATAAATGACTTATAGCATTGCTGCGTACTCATTTACTTACACTAGTTACATTAGTTTGTTTAGGACAAGACACAAAAGTACCTCTTGAATTACTTAAGCCGAATTTTTCATTGAAAAGTCTCCCAAATTCTATTTTATTATCAATGATTGATAAATATGTAAACGTTCTTTATAGCTAAGACTTCATCATTATCATCATCATTTCAGCCAAGAGACGCCCACTGCTGGGCATAGGCCTCCCCCAAAGCTCTCCAATGTCGGCCGTGTGCCTCCCGCATCCAGCGGCTTAATATTGAGCAATTTTGCAATTACCGTTCAAGGTTTCGCTGTTGTTAATACAAATATTCGATTCCTAGTATGTAATACGCCATTATTCTTTATCTATGTCATTGACTGGCTTCGCAATTTTGTCTTGTTATCTCATTAATTTTATTGGCGCTCTTAAAAGCATATTGATTTCGTAATATAGATTAAGAAAAAGGATGTTCACCTGAGCTTCATGAAGTAGTCTTGTACCATGAACGTCGGTAGGTCGCTTTTTACCCCAGCCTAATATAACACAGGTTGTATGAGGCTGTAATATATGCTGAGAACGTGGCAGACACGCGACACCGTGACCAAGTTCTCGCCGCGCATGTGATGGTAGACTGAAATAAAAAGTAAAATAAATAGGTATCTTAGACTTGGTAACTCAAACTGTTAAAGTATTGGATTTATGTCAACTTTAACTGTTTACTATAACCGCCCAAGGTTCACTGGTTAAAAACCTTGTTTTCTTTAATTGGCTAAGGAAGAGGTTGGTACCATGTTGATGTAACGCATTCCGCTATGAATGCTAAGTCAGGGTGACATCAACAGATTCAATATAAACCTAAACCTTGATTGTTATTTAGGTGAAATCCAGCCTTAGTCTAAGGACCTGGATGTATATCGATAGTTAAATTTTATGACATCGTTGGACATTTCGAATTGCCTATGGAAACTTTATTACTTTACCGTATACTTTATGTACCAAGATAATCCTGAGTAATTACTATGCTTATCTACTCTATAATTCAACCTTTAACTTGATGAGAGAAAGTCCACGACTCCAAAGTTACACTATATAAAAAAAACTCAAATAACAATATTTTAAGCTTAAAATCACAACATGAAACCTTGATATTTTTGATAGCGTGCGTAACGATACTAAAGATCGCTTTATTCGATAAGATCAATGGTACGAGTGTATATTTTACTTTTATGTACTAGTTTTTACAAAGTGGTGTTGCGTATTTATTTGAATAATTGTAATTATTTTCATCAATTCCTTTGATAAGATTACTTTTGAGATTGTAACATTAATATTGATTCATTAAAATCGTTTATTATTTTGTTTTAATGTGTATAAACGATTTGTTAGTTCATCTCTTCCATTATCACTATTAGAAAAGGAAGTTTGCAATAGGTATCATCCATTAGTATAATTATAAAATTTCATTCACATACCGTAACATGGCGACATCGTTGACTACGGTATCGGGATCGTACCGAGGATGAATGACTGCTTCAGTGACCCTCATTTCCAATTCTCTTGGTCCTCGAATCAATAGATCGTGCTCTCCTAAACGGACGTATAGTTTCTTTCGTACGCAGTGGGCTGCAGTCACCACCCACCGCAGAGACACTAAGGTGCCGCCACAAAACGCTTCCTGTATAACGTAAAACTACTGATAATATTTTTAGAAGCTTTTATTGAACTTGCAATGAATCTATGTTGGTCAAATTTTAAAATAGTTATCTTTACCCGATCAAGCTGAAATTTTGCATAACAGTATCTACAGGCTTGATTTTATTTACAATAAAATATAAAAAAACCTAATTGATCTTCATATTCTTTTCCATTATTAGAATTTCATTTTTCTTTTGTATTTCGCCAAAATCCAGCGTTTAGTTTAGTTTATTTGCTCATATTATAGACTCTACTTAATAAAAAGTGTATCGAAAGCTCAAATTTTCATTTTGAAGTTGAACCAAATTTCAAAATTAGTTAATTCAATTGTTTTGCACGAGTTAACAAATATGCTGTTTATAGTTACATGCTGTTTGCATTGATTACGCTTCAGAACTATTGGATGGATTTAAAAAATTATTTCACTTACAGGAAAGTACCTCACGCGCAGGCGACATAGGATATAATTTACTTAAACGAGTCGAGAGAAGTAGTTACTTGAGATAATGTAATAACTTTTACAAATATTTTAACAAGAATTTGAATATAGTACGATTTCTCAAAAGTTAGAAAACTATTAATATTATCCATTGACAGTCCTCACTTTATTCAAATTCTCGTCTACTTATTACAAGTATTTGCTTAAGTTATGACTTTTGTCAAGTAATTACTCCTCTAGACTAAAGATATGAGTGTCAAGATTGTTTCCATTGTTTAGGAATTTTCTTAGGTGATAACGCTTTTCACTTATGACTACTTAATGAAAGTTGATTATGTGGCACCTTGTACTAAACAATTAAATTATTTTATAGATCATAGGTGTGTAAAAGGATAAAAACGGTATTTGCATTTTGTGTTTCCTAGTAAGACTATGCTTTGTACTACGTTATTGGAAACGGGTGTTAGTGTCTAAACGAAATTGAGGTAATGTTAATATATACAAAATAACAGTTAATTATACCACTATTAGTTAGGTACCAGTTTTCATAGATTATTTCCCATATCAAATACACAAAACTGCAAGGGACGGAATGAGCATAATATGAATACCGCTTTATTTTTTTCATCGTCAAACACTTTTGGTATGTTTATCGAAGCCTAGTTACTGGTAGTTAAAGTAGCTGTTCAATTGCGCAGCTGGCCTTTTGATTGAATAACGCAGTACAATCAAAAACTATATTGTGCCGATGTGACATGACTAAATAAAGGAATATTTTTCATTCCGCTCGTGAGCTTCTAAAGATAACACGTAAGAAATCCACACAGACCAAATCCTAAGCTAAAGCTAGTTAAAAATAGTGATGAAATTTATAACGACCTCTTATTAATATTAGACGCATTTTCCGCTATATCAGTAGTAGCTTCATATTTATGTACAAACCCCTTTCAAATGATATCCTTTATGTCAGAAAACGTCTAATAATAAACCTATTACCTAAACTAAAATAGTTATGCGACTTTTTAAGCAAAATATTGGATTTTTATCGTATATTTTATAATCTATACAGTATCAAATCTAAGGAAAAATCCAAGAAACCTGACCAGGTGAAAGAGATGCTCCATAGTGTATTAATATATACGTCTAAAATAGAGCTTTCGGTTTTGCTTGTGCTTTCTAATGAGTTTTTAAACGTAGAATCAGACCACCCAAAGAAGGACTCTACTGTGTTTAGGGTTAATGTATGTATGGGAATTTATTTTTTTCCACCATAACTTTTGAAAGTCTTGGTCTTGACAGATACGAATTGAGGTATAAGGTATCATAGTAAATGTTACATCAATCCAAGTAACACTGGCAATTTTAGTTAATGTATGAAGCCATTAAAATACATTATTTTTCTTTAGTTGTAGCAATAGGATTTCGAATTAATGAGTACATTACAAAAAACTACTCACTCAAAAAATAAAAATGAAAAGAAATAATAAAAATTAAAAAAAGAAATACGGCTGCCAAATTCAAACTAAAGATTAAAGAAACAAGTTGTTATCTAGACCAAACAATATTCTCATTGTTCTCGGGGGACGTCTTAGATTACAAATGTTCCACAAAACGGACGTCTGACATAATACAACTCATTTCTTTTATTTTTAGTTCGATATCAGCAGTGGGTCTTTTTTTAATTTTTGAATCATTTATTTTTAAAAACATATTTCATTATCTTATCAGACAATTTACACTTCAATTATAACAGCGGCGAGTTAAATTCCTATTGTCGTTTGAATACTAAAGAGAGCAAAGAAGCAAATTAATTCGCTACTGTACTTATTGAAGTCTAAATCGGACTTGCTTACGACTTAGCAGTTGTATGTTCTAATTGATTCGTTGATTCATTCATCATTCCACCAGCTCATCGTTTACGCGAGAGCGAGAATTTCAAAAGAATTTATGAATTGTGAAATGTGGATCATCCCATCGCACCCGATCAATTCTCCACATTTCCCCTACGTAAAGATATTTCGCAATATTTTTCAATTTCTTTATATTATCTAGTTATTAGACAAAATGTTTGTTAGACAAACAAATTTTCTGAATTCATATATTACTTTAATTATCACAAAGGTAAGAAACATGGACTAGCATATTAAATCCAAATTCAAAACGATTGTTGATTTAATTAATAGTTTATAGTAAAACCATGATAATACTTTTCGTTTTGAGTTTAGGTCACTACAGTGGTTGTCGAGTTGGACAAAAGAATTTCAATTGTGTTATCAATAAACCAACAAATCAGCTGGGTATTAAAATATGAAGTCAATAATAATTAGCTATTTTATATTGTTTCAAGACGTTATCAGGAAATGTTGTAACTGCAATCGTACTCGAGCGTGAGGGAGCCCAAAGTCGGAGTAATTAGCGCGCTCGGTTTACGACATGGTTGTCAAGCAACTTTCGCAAAGGCCGGTCACAGCATGGGTGACCAAAAAATTTATTACCTTGAGCTCTTTCGTGCTTCGAAAGGCACGTTAGAGGCAGTTCATTAATCACGTTAGGCTCGAAAGCGGGGGAATGGGTTCGTCAAAAATCAAGAAACATCACAAAGGTCACGAAGTAATACTTATATCACGTGTATTTATTTCTCCTCAAACGCGCGATTACTAAACCGTAAATTAAGATTTATAATTAAGATTTTTTTCTAAGTACTAAAAACTAAACGTAATTTGGTTGGAGGGGGGAGGGGTTAGTCTTAAACCTCACCATGTATCACCAACGGTCCCGGCTGCATCTACAGTCGTTAACACCTACCAATCCGCACGGGGCCTGCGTGGTTGGTCATGGTCCATTCTATTTGAGTTGATTTCATTCTTATACAAAGCCTGAGCCCAGCAGTGGGGACATTAATAGGCCGGTGATGATGATGATTTAAAATAGCATAAACCCATATTAAGTGCATCCACTTTCATTAATACCACTGATTCATTATACCAATCAACCTGAAATGATGCACCACGATATTTTAGTTTTGAAATTGACCAGAAGATGTTTTAAAATCAACCAGGGGCTTATTTATCTAATTTTAAAAACTATTTCAATCCCTTTCAGTGTGACACTTGTGATAGTAATAGCAATCGTGACGATTTTTTTTCAAAGACATTGAACTAATGATATCGTTATTTTGACCTTAATTAGAATTGTTTAAGATAAGCGTTGGACGCAAATATTACTTAAAAACGTTGCGTTACGTGATTTCATAAATTGCATTTACAATAGCTATACGGTTGAAAAGGATTGTTGTAGATTTTGATATTAGATAATTAGGCCACGACTGCACTATGCAAACGCTTTATAGGCGGGTTATTATATTTTTACAGATTGAATTACCCACACACATAAACGTGACTGTTTTTCATATAATGTGATGTATTAACATTTCTATCTGTTTTTCTTTTAATATTCATTGAACTCCAGGCTTTATGTTTTAATCCACTCTCAAGTGTTTGGTCGGTGAAATAATATTATAATAAAAAATCGCTCGCTGGGGTGTAAAATGAAAACGTCAAGTGATGCTATACTTAATGTACACACGTCCGCACGTCACGCTACATACCACCACCGTAAGTGCTTACGTAAAATCTTTCGGAAAGATTTAACCCTTTTTCACAGAAGTGTGTTGCTCTATTGTGGCTTGTTTACACATATTATTTTCGTAAATAGTTAACTGAAGTGTCATCTTAATTCTAATTGATTACGTACAAATCAGCCATATCAAGTTAATCTTATCTAGTTATATCTGCATCAGTTTTGCTTTGAAGCACATTTTTGTTTATTTTCTACATATAAGGTTTAAATAATTATTAACATTGTCATATAGATTAGGAGAACAAGCAATGTTATAAAATTACAACCCACTAAAATTCGATCATGGCGGTAGGAAATCAATTGATGTAGATATTTCAAATACTTAATCAAAAATAATAGTAACAGTTTAATAAAAGAGAAAATAAAAGTTCTACTGTATCAGGTGAATGAGATGGGATTCGAAACGTGTTCGAAGCCATCATAGACCCATCTCATTTAGGACTTCCTGTCACACACAGAATAAATTTGTGTAATATTTTCTGACACTTAATTATTTTATGTACATATAAAATACAAGAAGCAATTCGACAGCTCAAGTCCCTCAAACATAAATACCGAATCTGAAATTAAAAATACTGCAATAGCTATAATTAATAATTTTAAATAAATAGCAACTGGATGGCTCGTCATCGTCTAAAAGTACAATGATTCAAAAAGAACCTTTTATTGAGTGAATCTTGGTAAATGTTTCTGACATTCAAATTGCGTCATCCATGAAGACAAAAAACTCTAATTATAGAAAGAAACAATCCAATTATGTGATTATGAAATAA